GAGTGTTGCATGCCTGTATTCCCAGCTGCTTAGGAGGCAGAAGTTCAAGGCTTGCCTTGGCAACATAACCAGAGTTCATGGCAGGGGGGTGGGTGGGAAATCCAGGTATTCTTAGATGAAGAAAAATTATGATTTGTTACCAGCAGACCTACCCTGTAAACAGAAAGAAAACAATAAAAGAATGAGCCTTGGAACATCAAGAAGGAAGAAAGAATATAATAAGCAAAATATGAATATAACACATTGGACTTCCCAAGCTTAAGTTACATTTGATGGTTGAAGCAAAAAAGAATGAACACTACCTTATTTTTTTTGTAGTGTCAGTTGGATATTTTATTACCCCATTTCCATATTAGATAGAACAACTTAACAAAAGATTAATAAGTAAACAGTACTTGAACAACACTATAAACCAATTGCACCTACCAGACATAAAGAATACGCTCAACAACAACAGCCAAATACTCATTTTTCTCAAGAGTACATAGAACATTCTATAACATAGACCATATGTAATTAAAAAAGATGTCTCAGTAAGTGTTAAAATATGGAAGTATTTCAAAGTTTCTTCTATCAACATAATAGAATGGAATTAGAAATTAATAACGAAAGGAAAAATGGTCAATTCACAAACATGTAGATATTATACAACATACACAAGCATATTTGCCTAGCAAGCATGAGTCCCTGAATTCAAGCTCCAGTACCAGGCACCAGTGACTTGCCTGTAATACTAACTACTGGGGAGCCTTAGATGAGGAACATCTCAGTTCAAGGCCAGCCCAGGCAAATAGTTCAGAAGATTCCATTCTCCAAAATGAACTGGAGGTGTGGCTCAAGCAGCAGAGCACCTGCTTTGCAAGCATGAGACCTTGAATACTGCCAAAAAAAAAATAATAATAAAATAAGTGTCAGGCTTGGGGGATGTGACTCAATGCCTTAATATAATAAAACTTCATCAGACAGAAAATTGAAAATTTTTACAATGAATACACAGTATCTCATAATCAAAATTCAATCACAAACATTTTACATTATTAGATCTGTCATTTATATATCTATGTGTCCATCTCTTTATACCTATAAATCCCTCTTGTTTTTGGACATACTCCTATGTAAATTGCTAGCATAAACCCCCTAGGGTTTTGGAGCATAGTAGGTTAGTGGTAGAGTACTTACCTAATGCTCGATACTCATCATCGCAGGATGGATGATAGATGGATGGACGGATGGATTGGATAGATGGATGGATGGATAGATGGATAGATGGATGGACTGGATGGATGGCTGGATGGAGCAAGCCTGGAACTTACTGTGTAGCCCAGGCTGGCCTTGCACTCCTGATCCTCCTGCCTCCAGCCCCTCCCACTGCTGAGATTACAGGTATTTACCACAATTCCCTACTTAAGTGTTTTGTTCTGCTTTGTTTTAACAGTACTAGGGTTTGAATTCAGGGCCTCACACTTGATAGGCAGGCATTCTACCACTTGAGCCACTCCACCAGTTTTTTTTTGTGTATGTGTGTGTGTGTGTATTGGGTATTTTTGAAACAGGAACTTGTGTTTTTTGTTTTGTTTTGTTTTTGTTTTTTGGACAAGGTTAGCCTCAAACCTCAATCCTTGATCTCTGCGTCCTAATAGCTTGAATTAGAGGCATGAACCACTGGCATCCAGCCATCAATCTTAAATTAAAATACATTTGACATTTTTTTTTTGTTTGTTATTCATGTGTGCATACAATGCTTGGGTCATTTCTCCCCCATGCCCCCACCCCCTCTGGCATATTTTTTTAAATGCATGCATGTTTTAAACCCAAACCATTATCGGTAACATTGCCATCACCCCCAGAAAGTTCCCTCCTGTCCCTTCTCTGTTAGTACCCCCATGTGTAGCTATTTAATTTTTTAGCATACAGAAACAAGTTGAGGCCTGATATTGTTCTAATGAATGTCCATGTTAGTGCTTGTGTACCTCATTTTCTTTTAGTAGCTGCATAATGTTACATTATTTATATTTTTAAAAACCTCTCAATAGAGGTCTTGGAGTTGTTTCCACTTTTTTTCGGTACACACTTCATAGTTATACATTCAGCTTTGGTTCCCTGCCAATGAGTGGACTCTAGTCTTCTACCCCAGAATCTTACTGCATTAACTTACCTCCATGAATGATTTCCTAAGATACACCTATAATTCATTCTGTGCCGTTAGTTTTGTCCAACCACTAAACTCATTGAACATGTCATGTTAACATAAAATACATTTTTCTCCAAAAAACAAGTGATTAGAGCAACTTTATTTTACATTTTTGCAAATCTCTTTAGTATCTGACTTAATAGAAGACAGGTAGATTTTCTAATGTTGTTTTATTCAGTCTTTTGTGATGTTATTTTGGCTGTAAGTAAATGAAATCTGACCTCACACATAATGTAGTTGGAAAAGAAATATTTCAATAGCAATTTCAGATCATGATGAATATATATATATATATATTTTTTTTTTGGTGGTACTGGGACTTGAACTCAGGGCCTTCATCTTGAGTTACTCCACCAGCCCTATTTTTGTGAAGGGTTTTTCGAGATAGAGTCTCACAGATTTATTTGTCCAGGCTGGCTTCAAATGGCAATCCTCGTGATCTCTGCCTCCTAAGTCACTAGGATTGTAGGTGTGAGCCACCAGCACCTGGCAATGTTATGGTTTCTTAAAGGTTAGTTGCATCGTGGGATCTGAGATCAATGAGCCTTTTTTTTTTTTAATTCATATGTGCATACAATGTTTGGGTCATTTCTCCCCCCTTCCCCTACCCCTTCCCTTACCTCCCCTCCCCCTCCCTCTGCCCCCACCCCCTCGATACCCGGCGGAAACTATTTTGCCCTTATCTCTAATTTTGTTGAAGAGAGAGTATCAATGAGCCTTTTTTACTCACGTTAAAATCCATTGATCTCTTGCAGTTTGAATGGAACTTTTATCCATCTATGATTTTATTACTTCATATGCTGATCATCGAAAATTTCACTAAATTATGTAGCTGTTCCATTCCCTATATGCATAAAAAAAATCACATTTGTTAATATCACCACTGATTTCATAGAACAATCTAAGTATTGGAAAGCTAAGAAGTTTACAGTAGTGAACACAAAATGCCAGTGTACACTCAAAGCTCAAATATTATCATTGGCAACAAGTGCTTTGAGTCATGGGTGGCGTTTTTTGTTTGTTTTCTTTGTTTTTGGCTGTGCTGGGCATGGAACCAAGGACTTTGTTCATGCCAGACAAGAGCTCTACCACTGAACACCTACTCCTACTTCCTCATTTGTGTTGTGGTTTTTTGGGTTTTTTTAGGGTATATTCATTGTACATTGTTATAATTTCAAATAGGCTTACATTGTTCATTGGGTAGATCGCCCCCATTTTCTTACCACCCCACTTAAAGAACTTACAAGAGGTTTCATCCTTCTATTTCGTATGTATGTGAAGCACATCAAGCATATTCCCTCACCATCATCTCCTCTATTCACCCTCCTCCCTTCAGTTGTGGATAAAATACAATTATTCCCAGAACCATTTGTGCTCTGCCTTGATTCATACTACAGTGCAAGCAGTTTTACCCACTATAGCTTTTATGCTATTAGTGCAAATGTCAGCATAATCAAGAAAGAGATATAGCATATTAATGATGTCACTAAAATAGTTTTGACCTTTTGAAACCTTTCAAGTCAGCAGAGCATACTTTGACAGCTGCTGATCTGGAGACAAATTAAAGAACAAATGGCCAAATAACAAGGAAAAGTATAAGTCCTTCAGCAAGAGAGTTAAGTGATCGGGGTTTGAGAGGTCAAAAGGTTAAACAGAGTTAGTTGGAGAGGTCTTTTTAAGGTATAGGGACTTTGAATTGGCTTCACCCCACCCCAGCCCTGAAATTAGCTTTTAAAAGTTGTATTTCAGGAAAGGGATGGTGGAGGCTCAAAGTCTGTAATCTGCCTGCTTGGGAAGTGGAGATCAGTAGGATAGCAGGTTGAGGCCAGCCTAGGCAAAAAGTTCATGAGCATCTCAGCTAATGGCTGGACACAGTGGTGTACCTGTCATCTCCCAAATAGAATCTCAGTCCAGGCTGGCCTGAACGTAAAGTGAGACCCTATCTCAAAAACGACCAACACAAAAAGGACTGATGGTAGAGCACCTGCTGTGAGGCCCTGAGTTCAACCTCCAGGATGGCAAAATTTTAAAAAGGTAGTATTTCAAAAGTAGGAAAAAGCGTTAGCATCATAAATTTGCATTGTCTTCAGTTATTTAAATGCAGGGATTTCCTCTTTTTATAGTCTACCTTAAACTATATATAATGATAGAGAGCAGATGCCAAATTCTTAGTGTTTATTTAGCTTCATAATGACCTGTGTATTTTGGTCATAATTGCACTATGTTAATTTGTTTTATATAGACTATTGTAAAAATTTAACTATATCATTTCTTTGTTTTTTGAGGTACTCAAGTTTGAACTCAGGGCCTCACACTTGCTAGGCAGGCACTGCCCCTCGAGCCTCTCTGCCAGCCCTTTTTTGTGTTGGATACTTTCAAGATAGGGTTTGAAAAACTTACTTGTCTGGACTGGCTTTGAACTGCCATCCTCCTGATCTCTACCTCCTGAGTAGCTAGGACTACATGTGTGAGCCACCAGCACCCTAGTATATATATATATCTTTAGAAGGTGAGTGTAGAGTGATCCCAGCACTAGAGAAATGGACACCAGTCTAGGCTACATAGCAAGTTCCCAGCCACCCTGGACTACATAGTGAAGCCCCTCTCAAAAAACAAATAAATTATGTATCTTTAGCATATGTCACATTGAGTGTTATAAAAGTGCCTAAAAATAAAAATTGATTGTAGAAAACATAAAATTTTAAGAAGCTTTTATTTTTCTTATCAGTTCTTAGATCTTGCGACTATTTTATCTCTTTGAATGCATATCAAAATAGGTGTTGAAATTGATAGTGTTTTCTTGTTTCAGGAAAGTATCTGAGACAAAAGAGAATTGACTTCCAGCTCCCCTATGATATCCTCTGGCAGTGGAAACACAATCAGGTACAAAGGGCCTATTTTACCAGGTTTCATTCTTAAGTGGTAAGAAGGTGGGGGACAGGGAATGCAATTCTTTTCTTCTTCTCCCTTCTAGTTATGTTTTCATCTTAGGAAATATTGAGACATGTCCCTGTGAAGGTTAGAGACTAAGAAAAATGGATTTGCATCTATATTTAATGTAACTTATTTGCCTTTAGTCATACTGCAAAATAGCAGTAAGGTCCTTCTTCCCTGGGCAACCTTCTCTTGTTATTCTGAGCTTTTATTTTGGTAGCAAAGATTGTGTTCTGTAAGAATTCTGTTTGATGCAGGTCTCAAGAGAATTTCAATGTACTGCCAGCAGCACTAAAAAAAATCAGGCTTTATTTTTGTTGGCTCCTTCCCATCAGTTTGGAATTTATTTTTCACATACAAAAGAGATTCTTCAACCAAGGAAGCAGGGAATGTTTAACATTCTTGTATTGAGACCTTTAAATATATTGATAGCTTAAAATAGGAAGGTTCTGTTTTTCTATCCTGCATCCCTAATTGAAAAGTTTCCCCCAGTGACTTCTGTATTAAATTATAGTACCTAAGCCCCATAATAAGAAACAACCAATAGGGTAGTAGAAGTAGTCATACAAATAAAGTGAAACAGCCTCTTAGTTTTACCAAAATTCCACCAATTAACTTGGGAAAGCATTCCCCTCTGCCTTCCCTTTTCTGATGGCCTTTCTTGAACTCTTAAGAGTATCTGTAAGTTAGACATTTATCAGAGAGAGGAGTAGTTTCAATATGTGGGCTGAAAAATGGTCTTAAGATTATTCCATCATATTAATAAGGACAGTTTAGTCCAAGTTTCTATTTGTTTGCAGAAAAAGTATTTGAAGATTGACTTTCTCTGTTCTAATGCATCTTTTCCCCATCCCCCCATGCCTTTTTTTTTTTTTTCCTTCATTACTTGTGTTTGAACTCAGGGCCTTATACTTAGATAGACAGGCACTCTACCACTTAAGCCATACTCCCACAACCACTACCCCATGCCTTCTTGATCAAAATGTGAAAGCTCCAGTTTTCTTACCTATCCTTTCCCCTTTATTCATTAAATTAATTACCTTTATTAAAAAATTGAAATGTTTTCCTACAATTCCCAGCCAAGGTAATGGCTGAAAAGCCAAGGTACTCATCTTTTTAATTTCATATGCCTATCCAAACCCTCTAAACAAGCCCTATGCACATTTTGGGTTGGAAGGTATATTGGTTTTGGGATTTGTGGACTTTTGGTCTTGTTGGGGGGCCTGGGGACAGGTTTGTTTGTTTATTTTGTGCTGGAGATTGCACCCTGGACTTAATACATGCTAAGTACTTGCGCTACCACTAAACTACACACCCAGACACTTACTTTTGATAGAAGCAAATAGATAATTTTTGGGTTTTAGTTTGTTTGTTGTTTTGATTTTGTTTTTTTGGTTTGGGTTTTTTATTTGTTTTTCTTTTTGGCAGTACTGGGGTTTGAACTCGGGGCCTCATGCTTGCTAGGCAGGCACTCTACCACTTGAGCCTCTCTGCGAGCCCTTTTTTGTGTTGGGTATTTTTGAGATAGGTCTGGAAAACTTACTTGCCTGGACTGACTTTGACCAGTGATCCTCCTGATCTCTGCCTCCTGAATAGCTAGGATTAAAGGCACAAGCCCGTAAATAGAATCTTAATTTGTCCGTATGAGTAGCTTTGGTCTTTAGTGTGATTTTCATTTAAGTTTGTTCAATATGTTGAAAAAACATAATTCAAAATACATTTCCTTAGACTATTTAATGCTTCTGTTGAATCTAACTCACTCTCCATCTCTTTATTTTGGGGAAAGAATGATCACCCCAAGGGTTTCCTTCAATGGTATCCAACCCAGAAAGGTTTATGAGTATTTCTATATGAGCAGAGCACATGAATGGTTTCCTCTATTTTTAGGGATTGACGTCATTGTCTGGCATTTGAAGTTACATGCTATATCAAGATTTTTCTTTTTTCTTCTAGCTATACAAAAAGCCAGATGTCCCATTGTATAAAAAAATCCGTTCAAGTGAGTATCTTGGGAGCTATTTTTTCTGCCTTCATACCATCAATGTTTATCTTAGACTGTCACTTGGAAAATTATCCAGTATGTTCACAAATTGTTCTTTGCTGTCTTCTCAAGATGTCTATGTTGATGTCAAACCCCTTTCTGGTTACGAGGCTACCACCTGTAATTGTAAGAAGCCAGATGATGACACCAGGAAGGGCTGTGTGGATGACTGCCTCAATAGGTATTGTAACTGATTGTTTTAAAATACGGGCTCTCACCTATATACCAACATATATACAACTAGTATATGTCTTAACGAGCGAAGTAATACTTTCATTTTCTCTCAAGAAGTGCACAGATTCATAAAACCTAATTTTTTTTATTTTTTATTCCTATTATTATTATTCTGGTGGTACATTGTCACATTTACAGAGCACAAAACCTAATTGATAGGCTGAAAACAGTAAGAGAAAGAGAATGAAATTTAGAGTTTTATGTTCCTAAATTTAAATTCTCACTTATAAGAAATGGGAAAGGTTATTCAACCCCTCTGATAAAAATAATACCTTCTTTTGGAGGGCTTGTAAGGATGAGACAATCATAGGATTATATAAGATAATGTTAATGTTCATAAAGTATTGATAAGCACAGGTTAGGTACCTTCCTAGCTCTCAGTGTATGGTAGCCATAATGAGGGAGTAGAGTAGGACAGTGACAGTGAAAATGAAGAGAAAGGGCATGATATAATTTGAACAAAAAGTACTGATAAACTATTGGCATGTAGTGGGTATGTACATGATGAGGCATAATGAAATGTCATATGAGTGTTTGTAGATTTCTTTTTCCTTTTTCTTTTTTGTTTTTTGCTGTACTGGGGCTTGAACTCCGGGCCTACACCTTGAGCCACTCCACCAGTCCTTTTTTTTTTTTAAGGATTTTTCAAGATAGTATCTGGCTGAACCGCAGTCCTCCTAATCTCTGCCTCCTGAGTAGCTAGGATTACAGGTGTGAGCCACCAGCGCCCAGCAGTATATTTCTTATGAACTACTGGATAGTTCTCATAAACTATTATTAATTTATTATATCCCCGTCACTACATAAATATACTTACTTCCTCATAGTTCTAATTGCTTTATGTATTCATATCTCATTTTATTTTAGGTTATTTAATATTTTATTGGGTTAATAGGCAGTAGTGGGCTTGAACTCAGGCACTCAACCACTTGAACTACTCCACCAGTCCTTTTTTGTGTTGGGTATTTTTGAGATAGGCTCTCTGAACTATTTGCCTGAGATTGGCTTTAAACCCCAATCTTCCTGATCTCTGCCTCCTGAGTAACTAGGATTACAGGTGTGGGCCACTGGTAATCACCTAGAATGCATTTCTTTAGATGGTAAAATGACTTTGTTTTTTCACATGATATCTTAATGATTGTCTATGAAATTATCATAGTATAGATGTAGCCTCATTGGTTAATTCCTCTCTTTCTGACAGTAGTCTTACGAGGTAGGTGATGGTTTTACATTTTCTAAATGAAGGGATTACTCCAGATTGCACAACATTTGAGAGACAAGAGACAGAATTTAAACTCTTATCTGTTAATCCAAAAACATTTGAGAGACAAGAGACAGAATTTAAACTCTTATCTGTTAATGCAAAATCCATGCTCTTTCTACTCTACTACACTGCTAATTATCTAAGCAGTTAGGTTTTTTTAATCACTTAAAAATTGAAATTTGGATATTTGCCTTACATAATTACATTGGTTATTTTTATTAATACAAGAATTACATTTATTCTTCACATTGTATTGGCCTTCCTTAATTTAAAAGAAAAAAACTTCTAATAAATAAGGAAAAAAAAAAACCTCTGAGATACAATGCAGTATTGGCAACTGAATGTCATGAGTCTATAATCATTACATAGATATACAAATGAGTAACAAGATAATAGATGTAATAAATACATAAATATGTAAGAAAAAGTAAAATATGTTCAGTAGATGCTTGCTTAGACATTTAACAGTAACCCATATAAAGATTCAGTTAAATGCAATTCCTAAAATGTAGGGTGGCTTTGGCTTTTCTGTCTCCATGTTCAAGGATCTGAAACAACTTGGGGGAGTAATGTGAGGATCCACCTTCACATTGCTGATCTAAAAACTTGATTCAAGACTATTGGTTTTTTTTTTGGTTTTTTTTTTTGTAGTACTGGGGTTTGAACTCAGGGCCTCATACTTGCTAGGCAGGTGCCCTACCACTTGAGCCACTCCACCAGCCCAAGACTATTGTTAAAAACAGATAACAGGTTTTTATAACTGTTTCAAATACATACTTTACAAATTTGTCCTTAAGTTTCAGAAATAAGACTTACTAACATTGTCCCTCAGAAATCATTGTTTCTTTCTACCTAAATACCAGACTTTAAAACTAGGAACTAAATTTTCTTAAGACTTTTATCAGTTATTACCTAAAGTACATTTGCAGATTAAAATTCTACAAACAGGAGTTAGGATGATGTCAAAGTGACAAGATGACATCAAAAGTAACAAGCCAATTTTTTTTTTTTTTTTTGAAGTCAACAGAGGTTTATTTTGTAAAGCAGAGCAAAGCAGGGAGAAAGGAGCACCCTTTGACACACAGGGGTGGGAGCAAGAGGCTTCAAAAGTGTCAAACTAAAGAAAGAGATCAGAGTGTCTTATTGAAGCAGTTTTCCCCGTATTAAATTTTGAATAACAACAGATAGGTGTTTTCCTCTCTCTTTTTTTTCAGTTGTTCCTATACCCTTTGTAACACATTCAAGTTTGGAGCTAGACAGACAGGAAGATGTAATATATGGAGAATGTGATCTTAAAATCCTCCTTTGCTTCAATTTTATGATCCAATAAATCTTATTACAAGAAAGAGGAAAAACTTTTCTAGTTTTAAATATCCACTCTGGAAAATACAGAAAAATAAAAGAAGGCTTTTGTTGCATTTTTGTATATATTTCTTTCTATATTATTTGAACCTACTTGTCATTTCCTTACTGATTTTTTATTAGGAAAATTCAACTTCTTGTTTTTGTTCATTTGCTGATTTTTGTTTTGTCTTTGTGTGTGTATACATGTATAGTTTATCCCTCTCCATTAGATTGGAATACATATAAGGTTCCATTTCTCATAGGTTTCAAGCCTCAACTTAGTCTTCAACTGGCCAAATTGGCAGGAAACCCATTCTTTCTCTTTGGGCTCCCATTATCAAAACAGTTTATGTGCATCACCATTATTTATACATCATGCATAATTTTCCCTGGTAAATTGCTTCAATAGACCATCCATGTCAATCAATTGCTCCTCCAAAGTATTCCTCATAACTTAGAGCAAAGCCTTGTAATTCATTTCAAGCTGACTTTTATCCCTATACCTATTTGCTTAAAATGTTGGCAGAGCCTGTTCTGTCAGTTCTCCCTGAATACTTCAGGGAGAATAAATGCATATTGCCTAGAAAAACTAATGCCAGTAGGAGTAATTACCCTCATAATTCATGGGTACTAAGCTAAACCTCACAGTCTTTTTTTTAACTCCCTATTAGTTCCTATCTAGGCTCCTTTGTGAAAGGAGTACAGTTCACTTCCACTTGCCCACCATTGAGAATCTCTAAGATCCTTCAGTTTTTTGTTTCAAAAGGACCACAGATCCTCAAAATCTTAGTCCCCCAAAATAGGAAAGATCCTGTTCATTTCCTATCCCCTACCCTAAAGGCTTTCTCCTCTTGACCTGGCATAATGAATAGTGGAATATTTCTTTCAAATGAAAACCCTACCTCTATTCATAGGAAATGGCCTGAACCTTCATAGCTACTTAAGTCTATCACATTATTACATTTTCCAGTGACTACTTATTTCACTTTAAATCTTGCCATGTAAGGAGCAGAGATCTCTGGCCTAGATCTATATTTAGTGGAGAAAAAACTAGTTTTTCACAGGCATTATCTGGTTAAGATAATGGCAGTTTCTATTGCTGAGTAAAGACGCCTTATCTTAGTTTGCAGCATCTACTTTCAGATTTGGATAAATTTATTTTTCTTTCTCACAAACAGTGAATAAAAACACGTTTCACAATATAATTGAAGGGCTTATCTTGGTTATTTTTAAAGCCAAAAAGAATATACTTTAATGCCTACAACTCCAAAAACCACAAATTTTAGGCAACCTCTGTATGATTATTTGCTTGCACAAATTTTTTTTAACATTTTAGTCTGCCTAACCTTGGTACTCTTATATTTATTTTTACCTTTTGTGTGGTTTGTTTGTTCGTTTTGCAATGCCATGTTGCCTTAAACCCCTAGGCCCAAGTTACTATCCAGCCTCTTTTAGTCTCCCCAGTAGCTAGAATTACAAGCATACGCCATGGCACTTTGTTGTTTTTTCACCCACCCCAAGTTTGTTGTTGTTTGTGTTATGAGGTATTATGAAAACATTGTGGAGTGTTATGAATGGAGATTTACAATTGAAACCATGAGAATGGATGAGCATCTTTTTTGAGATAGGATCTCACTGTGTAGCCCAGGCTGGAGCCTCTTTTCTTAAAGGAGAGCAAGATATGTACCATGGAAGGTAGAGAGGCAAAAAGAATTCATCTCCAAAAAGACAAGAATCATTACTGGTAAGGAGAGAAATCCAATCTCACAAAAGAAAACAAAACTACAAGTGGGGGACATTTTAGGAGAAATACTTAACAGTATTCATGTAGAAAAGAAGTCAGCAACAGAAAGAGTAGAGGACTGGGGTAGGGTGTATAGCTCAGTGGTAAAGCCCAGGGCCTCTCAATTCGAGATTTGGTCCCCTACACTGCAAAAGTAATAATAATTAATAATAATAAAGGTGCTGAATATGAACATAAGTCAATGTCTTCTTTACAGCTGAGTTGTTTGTGTTAAACTGAAGAATAATCCAGGGGATATTTTCTCTGCCTTTTGTTTTAACACTGTAAGCAGTTTTCCCTTTAGAATAAAGATGGTATAAACCAGGCATGGAGGTACACACTGAAGCAGGAGGATAAGCTCAAGGCTGGCCTGGACTATATAACAAGACCTTGTTTTGTTTTGTTTTGTTTTTCAAAAAAAGATAACTTTTTTAAGAAATGAAGCAGATAGCTCTGAAAGTTATTTTAAACTGTCAATGTTAAGTACTTTCTTTTTGAGAATTTTTAATTATAACTATAACATGATATTTTGATCTACCATTATTTTTATTGCTCTTTCTCCTTGTTTTAATCATGCTTATCAGCCTACCTAGAATTCCAAGCCATACATCAAAACTAAATGGTTTCCATAAAAGCATAAAAGATCTAGAAATTTTAAAACAGAAAGTGGTAAGAAGATACTTCTGTATCTTCATGAACATACATACTATGTTCAGAATATTTTATGTATTCACTACTAATTATGGACTCAACTATTCATACATATTGAAGTGTTATTTCCAGTATGGGTATGTCATTTCCAGTAATGAAATAAGAGGGGTTTTTTTTGTTGTTGTTTTTGTGGGGTTTTTTGGTGGTACTGGGTTTGAACTCAAGAGCCTCATGCTCACTAGGCAAGCACTCCACCACTTGAGCCACTCTGACAGCCCTCTTTTGTGTTTAGTATTTTCAAGGTAGGGTTTCACAAACTATGCCCATTGCTGGTTTTGAACCTTGATCCTCCTGATCTCTACCTCCTGGTAGCTAGAATTACAGGCATGAACTAGCGGCACCCAGGAAGAAATTATTACATAGCAACATTAATGAATATACTTAACCTTACTGAACCGTACACTTCATGAGGTTGCAGTGGTAAATTTTATTTTTTTTACATTTTTTTAGTCTGTAAATGAGAGCCAAGTATGGTGGTGCATACCAGTAATCCCAGCACTCAGGAGACTAAGGCAGGAGGATCCTGAGTTCCAGGCCACCCATGACCACATAGTGAGACAGAAAAGTGCTGGTGGAGTGGCTTAAGTGGTAAGAGCACCTGCCTAGCAGCATGAAGTCCTGAGTTCAAACCCCCACAGTGCCATCCAAAAAAAAAAAAAGAAGAGAGACAGAAACCAAAATGAAAGAAAAAAAGAAAAAGTTTATGAAGCTACAAAACAAGAGTTCAGTGTAAAGAAACATTCAATGTTTGCAGCCTGACTTTGAAATTATAAATGTTATTAATTTTTTAAATTATAATTTATTTTAATCTTAGTGATTTGGCTACTTTTATTAAAATAAGAACTTATTTCATGTAGTCACTGAAAACTTCTTATAAAATAAAAAAATGGGTACAGTAAGACATGTATTATGTAAATTAATGTACAATTATTCCTTTTCTTTCTAGAATGATCTTTGCTGAGTGTTCCCCAAATACTTGTCCCTGTGGTGAGCAGTGCTGTAACCAGAGGATACAGAGGCATGAGTGGGTGCAATGTCTAGAGCGATTTCGAGCTGAGGAAAAAGGTTGGGGAATCAGAACCAAAGAACCCCTAAAAGCTGGGCAGTTCATCATTGAATACCTAGGGGAGGTTGTCAGCGAACAGGAGTTCAGGTACAGTGGTAAATGAGAATACCCCAGTAAATGACGAAGGTACAAGACTAGAATGGAAAATGAAAGATTTGAAATTTACTTTCAGTTTAATCAATCATTTCTCTCCTCTTTAGAAACAGAATGATTGAGCAGTATCACAATCACAGTGATCACTACTGTCTGAACCTGGATAGTGGGATGGTGATTGACAGTTACCGCATGGGAAATGAGGCTCGATTCATCAACCACAGCTGTGACCCTAATTGTGAAATGCAGAAATGGTAAGGAAACAGGAAAGGGTAAAGCTAAGAATCCAGCAGAATAGAGGGTATTGAGGACAGCCAGAGATTGATCTTCCCACATTGTCAGTGAGTTTATACAAAGCATCTCAGGCAATTGCCCATTTTACCAGATCCTTCAGAGTAAGTGACTGTAGCCGGACACCTGTGGCTTGCACCTGTAATCCTAGCTACTTAGAGTAAGTGTCTGCAATTTCTTTGGAGTACTGGGGTTTGAACACAGGGCCTGCTTGCTAGGCATGTACTCTTCCCCTTTAGCCACATCTCCAGTCCCACTCCTGTTGTGTTTGTTTGTGTAAAATTGGAATTTGAACTCAGGACTTCACACTTGCAAAGCAGGCACTCTACTGCACATATACCTCCAGTGTATTTTGCCCTGGTTATTTTTTGGAGATGGGGTCTCTGAAACTGTTTCCCCATGGTGACCTCAAACCACTAACCTCCTGACCTTAGCCTCTCAAGTAGCTAGGATTATAGGCATAAGCCACCAGTGCCTGGTTCCTGCTGGTTCTTGAAGTTACTGTTGAGACCCATAAAAATAAAAGTATAGTAATGATATTACACATACCTAATATTTATTCAATGCTTACTGTTTGTTAGGCATGTTGCATATATCATCTCAAAAACACAGAAACAAAAAAAATACAAGCCAGGGATGTAGCTCAGTAAGAGAGTACCACCCAAAAAAAAATAATTTAAGTCAAATATGTCAGTGTTTGATCTGTAAATTCAAATCTAAACAAAATCCAGGGCTGGAGGGTGGCTCAAGCTGCCTGCCTAGCAAGCATGAGGCCCTGAGTTCAAACTCCAGTGCTATACACACAAAAAAGAAATTAAACAAAATCCAATTTTTACCTCAGGACCTTGTTCATGCTAGGCTAGCCTTCTGACCACCGAGCTATACGTAGCCCAACTTGGGGCTTAACTTCTGACTTAAATTCTTTTTTAATTATTTTTATTAATGTAATTTTTTTGGAGGTACCTATTTTATACAGTTATTGGAAACATTAAATCAATTTTTAACACAACAAAATTTTATAACTCATGCATCAAGCATTCAGTATCTGTTAACTATGAAAACTTACTATATAAAATATCTAGAATACCACATAATAGGCCATTAATAACTTGTGTAAATAAAACAGAAGATATACTAAAGTGATAATGATGGAGATCAGTAAGAATGTTTTTATAGGTAAGCCGTAGGAAATAATTTTAATTTGTTCAACAGATAGACTAAAGTCATATTTAAAGGGAACTTCAAATACCAAGCAAGAAAGGTTAAGACTTATTATTCTAATTTACAACACAGAGTATGTATTATAAAAACTGATTTAGGACTATTAGAGACTATGTAGAATAGAGGAGAGATTAAAAGTTGAGAGATCAACCAGGAAACTTGAAGTAATACCAGCATATATTCAGAAAAAAGCAGAAATAGAATAAGTTTATTTAGAGTAAAGGAAACTAAAGCTGGATGCTAGTTTATCAGACCTGTAGTTCTAGGTGCTTTGGAGGCTGAGATCAGGAAGATCGATGTTCAAGGCCTGCCTGAACAAATAGTTTCCAAGATCCCATCTCCAAAGTAACCAGAGCAAAATGGACTGAAGGTGTGGCTCAAGCAGTGGAATGCCTGCTTTGCAAGGACAAAGCACTAGTTCAATCCCCAGTCCCACAAAAACAAAATATATACCTATATATATTAAAACGCAGAAAAATAAATATTAAGACTCTTCTGTAATTTAATATAAAAGGAAAGAAAAGTTTTCAGTCAGTGATTGTACTGATTTCTAGTTTTCAGTCATGGTATTAAGAATCTCAGGTCTGGGCTGGGGATGTTGTTCAGTGATTGAGTTTGCCTGGTCTGCAAGAGATCCTAGGTTTGATCCCCAGCACTGCAAAAAAAAAAAAAAAAAACCATCTCAGCCTTTAATTCCATTGTTTTCTCTCTTCATAGGTCTGTTAATGGAGTATATCGCATTGGACTCTATGCACTTAAAGATATGCCAGCTGGGACCGAACTCACTTATGATTACAACTTTCATTCCTTCAATGTTGAGAAACAAGTAAGAATAATAAATACAAGGGAAGGTTGAATATTATTACTTATAACACTGTAATGTGGGCCTTCAATAAACATTATTGACTTGGAGCCATTGAGAAATGCATGAGAGAGATAGGTTTTTTACTCTTCTTTTCACCTACCTGGAATACGTAGGTCTCATGTTTCAGAACTGTGAAGAAACAGATCACTTTACCATTTTTGGTTTTTAATCAGGTCTTTTTTAGTGAAGAAGTTTTCCTTAAGTTGAATCGTTTATTTCTACTCCAGTGGGAACCCATTTCTTTTTACTTTCAATTATTTTCCTCTGTATATTTAAATTCTTTAATTCATACTTAACTTTGCAGGTCCAAATTATCATTGAATTTATGAGACTACGGGTTTAAAAAAATATTCTCTCGGGTGAAGGCATCGCTCAGTGGTAGAGCACCTGTTCAGGGTAGTATGGCCATGGTGGTTCGGCCATAAATTTTAAAAATACTCTTTCCTTTAAAGCAACTCTGTAAGTGTGGCTTTGAGAAATGTCGAGGAATCATTGGAGGCAAGAGTCAACGCATGAATGGACTCACCAGCAGCAAAAGCAGCCAGCCTATGACCACACATAAGAAGTCTGGACGGTCGAAAGAGAAGAGAAAGTCTAAGCACAAGCTGAAGAAAAGGGTGAGTAATAATCTCCTAGCTTTCCCCAAAAGCTACTCATGAGCTGCTTTGAGGCGATTACTAGAATAAGGGGATTATGAAAGGGTGACATTTTAAGATTGATTTTAGCCAGTGGCTCACACCTATAATCCTACCTACTTAGCAGGCAGAGATCAGGAGGATCACAGTTCAAAGCCAACCCAGGCAAATAGTTCAAGAGACCCTGTCTCAAATAAACCCAGCACAAAAAAAGGGCTGGTGGCGTGCCTCAAAGTGTAGGACCTGGTTTTAATATTCTTGGAGATGATTTCTGATTGATTTTTTTTTTCAGTAATCTTATCTGTCTTTTGATTTTTGTATTTTTTTTTAAGAGAGGCCATCTCTCCGAGGAACCCAATGAAAACATTAATACCCCAACAAGATTGACACCCCAATTACAGATGAAGCCAATGTCCAATCGAGAGAGGTAAAAAAAAAGATTTTTTTTACTTGAGTTCTTAAATTATGTGATATGCTTCTCAGTTTAAAAAAAAATTATTAAACTTCATTTTATGTTATGCAAGAGCTCTTAAGCCAAGGGTTAAGATGATCTGTGACCTTGGTTGAGGAAAATGATTGTGTCTTTACATTTCCAAATTTCTAACTGAAACGTACTGTTTCCTTCAAATATGACTGTAAGGTAGAGATGGGGGGGGGTGTTTAAAGAGAGAGAATTACCACTATCCATAACTTTGTCAACAGTATTCCCAGATATTTTCATGTTGTATTACAGGTATCATAAATATCTCAAAGTATCATTTACATCCATCTCTACATCAAAATTGCAATGATTCAGCTGTGTTGCTCAAGGGTTAGAGCATCTGTCTTGCAAGTGCAAAGGGCTGAGTTCAATCCCTAGTACCACCAAAAACAATTCCTTGATTGTTGGACTCACTACTATATCTTAATCATGCATTATCACAGTTTTGGTGTTTTTGTCATTTTCTTGAAATGTGTGTTTCAGTATATTTGGTTATTTGGTTTCCTTTTAATCCTGTGTATTAAAAGTTAGTTAAAAGTGGACTGGAGGTGTAGCTCACCTCCAGTGAAGCCTAAGTTCAAACTCCAATCCCAGCTAAATATCATAAGCTTCACAAAGATTCCAGAGGAATCCATGGCACAGAAAAGGTTAAGAATCACTGCTTTAATAGGGTGCAGGTGGCTCACGCCTGTAGTCCTAGCTACTCAGGAAGCAGAGATCAGAAGGATTGCAGTTCAAAGCCATCCGGGGTAGTTTTTGAGACCCTCTCTCGAAAATACCCATCACAAAAATGGGCTGGTGGAGTGGCTCAAGGTATAGGCCTGAGTCCAAACCCCAGTACTGGGGAAAAAAAAAAAAAAAAAAAAAATCACTGCTTTAGCTAGGTGTGGTGATTTATGCCTTTAATCCTATCTACTCCAGAGGCAGAGATCAAGAGGATTGCAGTTCAAAGGCAGCCTGAGCAAATAAGTTCGAGAGACCCTATCTGGAAAATACCCAACACAGAACATGGCTGACAGAGTGGCTCAAGTGGTAGAGCACTGCCTAGCATGCATGAGGCTGAGTTCAAACCCCAGTAGTACAAAAAATAAAAAGAAGCACTGCTTTTAACAGAGTGGTAAATAAGATCTTTAGTGGTTGTTTCTGCTATCCCCTATATTCAGATAAAAACTTTCAGTCAAAAGTAAACAAAGTGAAAGTGTCCTGTTTTTCAAATTATCTTGGAATATATTCCACAAACTCCTTTACTACACATTCCATTGTCTTAGTAAGTATGTCATTTATGGTACTTTTCTATAATTTTAGCCTCTTACATCAAATGCTTCTGTACTGTGGCTGCACATTAGCATGGGGCACTTTTAAAGACAACCAGGGACTGAGTGAAACTCAGTAGTAGAGTGTGCTTAGCATGCACAAGGCACTGGGTTCAATCTTGAATAACAAATAAAACTCCTAAGGTCCAGGCCACACCCCAGACTATTTAAACCAGGATTTCCAATATTTTTTAAAGCCCTCTAGGTAACTGAATTCCTGAATTTGCAGACAAGTTATAAAATTAATTACAAAATTAACCTAATTATAAAAGTATATTATTACATAAGATTATATGATTACAAAATTAACCCAGTCTCCATTTACTGAGGCTGATAGTTTGAGACTTATCTAAGGTCATATTTATTTACATAAGTGCTAGTGTAAAGACCAAATAGTAGAATCATCAAAACTAGGGCCGGTTGTGGTAGACCATCCCAGCTGCTCAGAAGGTGGAGATCAGGACTGCAGGTCAAGGCCCATCCAAGCAAAAAGTTAGCAAGACCATATCAACAAAAAAGCCAGACATGATGGTTCATAACTGTATACTCAGCTACTCAGGAGGCAAAGGTAGGAGGATCTTAGTCTGAGGCCAGCCCACCCAGGAGATCCTATCTGAATAATCACTGAAGTGAAAAGGGCTGGGAGCATAGTTCAAGTGATAGAACACCTGCTAGTAAGCATAAGGCCCTCAGTTCAAACTCTGTATCATCCAAAAAAAAAAAAAATCAAAATTATGTAAGATCAGTCAAGATACATCTAATTCATTTAAGTTTAGAGATTCATGTAGAAGCATTGCACCTGTTCACTCCATACTTTTTCCAGTTCTTTCCATCTTACACATCTTTCCTTTTACCTGCTAATCTAGTTCTTCTTCTTGTAGCTAATCCTAAGCCCATACTTCATCTTGGCAACTTTAGAATTTGAAAAAATAGCCATGTATGATGGTGGTGCCTGTAATCTTAGTACTCAGAAAGTTCAGACTGGAGAATCATGAGTTCCAGACTAGCCTGGACTATATAGGAGATCCTGACTCAGAAAAGAGACAGAGAGAGAGAGAAAGGTTTTTTATTGTTTTTTTTGTTTTGTTTTGTTTTTTGTTTTTTTACAAATAATCCATAAATGTGTGCTCTCTGGTCTGGCTGCTTCTCTTGACAAAATTTTTGTAGCCTTTAATTGCTATTTTCCACGTTTATAAATAATACAGAAAATTTTTTATGTTGTATGAAAAAAATGCAAAATTGAATAATGTTTACCTGGGTAATTGTCTTTACGATAGCTCAGTAGAGCACCTATTTTGCATGCACAAAGCCTGAGTTCAAACTCCAGTCCCACCAAATAAAATAGCTCAATTCACTGATAGGTGTTCATTTATATCACCTAATAGTGCCTAATGTAGAGTAAACATGTAATAAATGCTTATTGAATTTATGAATAAAGGACCTACTTTCCTATTTCCTTGCAGGAACTTTGTATTAAAGCATCATGTGTTCTTGGTCCGAAACTGGGAGAAGATTCGTCAGAAACAGGAGGAAGTAAAGCACACTAATGATAATATTCACTCAGCATCATTATATTCCCGCTGGAATGGCATCTGCCGAGATGATGGGAATATTAAGTCTGGTAAATAAACTTTCCTATTAATTACACAAAATTAGATCCAAAATAATTAATTTACATTCAAACATTGTATTCAAAGATTCTTTTTAGTGTGGACCAAAAAAGTTAGGTACCAAATTATTAAGCATCAATCACAGCTCAACTTCCCTTTCCCTACTCTGACAAATAAGGAGACGTCCCCTTTCATTAGCCTCCCAAACATCACTCACAGCCTGAAATAGTCATAAGATGTGAGCTGTGTATGTAGTGAATCCTCTTATGTTCCCTCCTACCTGGAAAATAACTTGCAGACTGAGTAAATAGTGATGCCAAATGCCTATAGGGAGAAAAATATACTCTTTATAAGTTTGAAGACTTTTCCCCACATTCAGATCAGCACTATACACACAAAGTATCAGATTTTCTTTTTCTAATCTTTTTGAGTGAGTCACATAACAGTACTCTGGAGATGAGAAGCTGGTATATCTAAGCATCCTTTCTAACTGAAAATAAAGTGCTCAAAAGTCATGCTCTCCTTTTATTTCTTTTCCCCTCAAAATGTAGAATCATTCTACATGCTATGTGAGGGAATATGCTGAGTGAATATTCCCTATGTGAGGGAATATTCTTAACTAGATAGATTAAGAAATTTATCTAGAAGGCCAGTGTTACAGCTCAAGTAGTAGAGTGCTTGCCTAGCAGTTACGGATTCAGTCCCTAGTACCATGAAAAGAAAAAAATATTTGCCGAAAATCTTTCAGTGATTTGATTGTTATAATTTCTTTTTTCTTCATATATCTCTGTTTTTGTAGTACTTGAATACTGGCAAACGCGAGGTTTCATGCTTACTATACAGGTGTGCTACTGCTTGAACCACTCCACCAGCCTTGATTGTTATAATTTCTTTGAATTTATAGCCCAAATAGTTCAAATCTTCTATTAATAGCAGCAGTCATTTACTGAATGTATACATGTCTGGCACTGAGCTAACACATTAAAAAACCTGTTTCACTTAGTCTGCACAATTTAATCATGAGGAAAGTACTACCACTATTCTTATTTTACTTCTGAGAGGCTGAGATGCAGAGGAACTTCCCAAGATCACATACCCTAGTAAATGGAGTGAACCCAGAATTCAAAAGCAGACAGACTCATTTTGAAGCCTAGACTTGCAACTACATTATGTATCATTTGGTTACTAAGTTAAGGTCGCTCTTGCAGCATTTGTGACTTTGTTAAATACCAGTGTTTTCTACTTTTTCTTTAAGAAGAGGAAAAAAATGTGTGCTGACTAATTCTATTTCATCATTTGAAGGAAAATATAACAAATGACAGGAATCCATTGGGAAAGAGAAAGCCACATAAAATTCCTCATTTCCTGAAACTAATTTTCACTTTATCCTTCCAGACGTCTTCATGACCCAGTTCTCTGCCCTACAGACAGCTCGATCTGTTCGAACAAGACGGTTGGCAGCTGCAGAAGAAAACATTGAAGTGGCTCGGGCAGCACGTCTAGCCCAGATCTTCAAAGAGATCTGTGATGGTATCATCTCTTACAAAGGTGACTATGCCTGCCCCACCTCCCAAATTCATTCTTATCTTTTGTTAAAGCATCAAGAAGCTGTAAGCCAGTGGTTCATGCCTGTAATCCTAGCTACTTGGGAGGCTGAGAATGGAAGGATTATAGTTTGAGGCCATCCAGGGCAGTAGTTAATGAGACTTCCATCTCCAAAGTAACCAAAGCAAAATGAACTTGGAGGCATGGCTCAGGTGGTAGAGCACGTGCTTTGCAAGTACAAAACCTTAGTTCAAACCTCATCCCACCAAAAAAAAAAAAAAAAAAAAAAATACCACCCATCCTCTCCTGAGATATCCAAGAACAAGGGGTGACAGTACTGGGGTTTGAACTTAGTAGGCACTCTACCACTTGCTAGGTAGGCACTCTACCACTTGAGGCACTCCACCAGTCCCAAGGGACATTTTAGACTTAGGAATTTAGGAGATTTATTTGTTCTACCTTTTATCAGAGAGTATAGAATTATAGAACTGAACATAGTCTTTAGGGCTTTAAACCCAGTCTTGTGCAGACTAAGTGCATCTTCTTCCTCTGAGCTATACCTCCCCAGCTGGAATTGTGGTTTTTAAATTCCAAGATGTTACCTGTCCATTTTTATGTTTATTATAATTTTATTGTAATTTAGTACTGTATTTAAAAATCACACTTTTTAGCTAGAGGAAAGCTAGCCTCTGTCTACATCTATAGGATATAGGCGTCTGCCATGGGTAAAATTTGCCTGGATGAGATAGTGAATTAGTAATTTAAGAATAAAGTGTACTATGAATGTATTACATCAATTTTTATGGTTTTTAGTTGACAGGTATCTTTGAGAATCTAATTAAAGCTATGAGTCCTATCCCAGAATGTATATACACACACACACACTTTAGAGTATGACCTCTGCTTTAAGGGAAAAAAAAAAATCAGCACATATAAGGCTCTGTCTTCAAAACCCCAGGGCTACAAAAACAAACATTGAAGAAAATTAACATTTACTTTAAAAGAGTTTTCATGCAGACACTTTTATCTCCTTTTCCAAGATCCATATAGTAAAGGTAAGAGAAGGAAAGAAGATAATTAATTTGGGGTAGGTAGTTTGGCAATATAAGTGACTTAAATGAGAGATTTTGTCACATAATTATGATTTTTTTCCATGAGCTTTAGTTCATCTTCTTTCCCTAATTATGAAGAATTTGATTTGTTTCCTTTCAGTGTTGTTTATCTGGGTATTTTGGTAGTTTTTTTGTAGTTTTGTTAAACTAAGGACATAGGAAAAGGGGGGGAACCAAGCTGCAGAATATAGCTCAGTGGTGCCAAGGTTCTGAGTTCAGTACTTAGCATTACCCCTCCCCCCAAAAAAGTGGGGGGGCGGCAAATTGACCAAAGATATAAAGCTTAATGACACCTATTCCATTTATATTCCCAAAAGATTACATATCTACCATGTCAGTACATTCTCAGCTTTTTCTCTCTCTCTAGTGAAATTGCCAGAAAGTAAGGTAGCAACATGAGAAATAGTTCCTCAGCAAAAATTCTGTTTGTGCTATAAAGAATAACTGTTAACAGGAAAATAAATTCCAGAAAATATCTATAGTACTAAATTATTCATTATCTGGAATTTAATCAAATTCTAGCCAACATTAGCCTCGAGCTGGTGGTCATGCCTATAATCCTAGCTACTCACCAGGCAAAGATCAGGAGGATCAAGGTTTGAAGCCAGCCAGGGCAAATAGTTCTTGAGACCCTATCTCAAAAAAACCCATCACAACAAAGAGCTGGTGGAATGGCTCAAAACGTAGGCCCTGAGTTCAAACTCCAGTACTTTAAAAAAAAAAAGTAATATTAATTATGGGCAATTAAGGAAAGCTGGAAAACAATTTTTGGATGAGATGATCTTTTTGCTATAGTAAGATCTGTTGAGCAGGAATTTATCCTAAGCATTCCAGCAACTTCAATAAATTTCCATCTGTCATTCTTGACAGGAAGTTCTAACATTGTGCTACATTGCAAGAATATACAGTATATCTTTCATATCCTGCATAATCTTGAAAGTGTCATTTGATTCCTGCCTTTATTCACATTTCTGAGAAAAAGTGGATTTTTTTATAGTCATGCCTTAAAAGAGTAGGGATTTTAATTTAGGGGATTCTACTTTTTCAATTAGTAGATAATGCTGCAGGCACTCAGTGAACGAACACTTGCCTGGCATGTGCAAGGCCCTAGTTCTATCCTAGAACCACAAGAAAAAAAAAATGAAAAAGAGCTGGGAGTTGTGGCTACTCAGGAGGATTATGGTTTGAAGCCATCCCAGGCAAATAGCTCCTGAGAACCTATCTCCAAAATAACCTACACAAAAAAGAGCTGGTATGGCTCAAGTTATAACGCCCTGCCTGTCCAGCAGGCTCGAAGTCCTGAATTCAAACCCCAGTACCACCAAAAACTAAAGGAGGGAGCACTTTGTTTCCAGCTTCCACCTGGCCCCACCATGACCTTTTGTAACTCCTCTCCTTAATCTTTGATAAACTCCAATATTTCCTTTACTAAAAAATAAAAAAATAGGCTGTGCCATCTTTTCCCCCATCGGCCTGGCTGTTTGGGCCTGCCATTAAACTTTGCTCTATGGAAAAAAAAATATATATATATAAATAAATATAAATAAAATGTAGGGGCAGGAAAAACAGTTTTCTTGAACCAAAGTCTCTCTGTATAGCCCAGACAAACTCTGGATCCCTCCCTGCTTCAGCCACCCAAGTTCTGGGATTACAGCACCATCACAACCAGCAGGGGTAAAAAAGTTAATACAAAAAATTTAAATAAATTTTAAAAAGTCAGGAGTAATAGTGTATACCTACAGTCCCAGCTACTCCTGAGGCTGAGGCAAAGGCATACATGAGCCTATGAGTTCAAGACCAGTCTGGGCAACATAGCTGGACCTCCATCTCTAGAAAAAAAGGGTTGGTGTAGTGGCTCAAGTGGTAAAGCGCCTGCCTAGCAAGCATGAGGCCCTGAGTTCAAAGCCCTGTACCGCCAAAAAACTGGAAATACTGCTTGCCTGTTTTTTATCTTAGTGCCATTCTGCTAAATCTTATATTCATTTGCAGATTCTTCCCGAAAAACACTGGCAGCTCCACTTTTGAACCTCCCCCCAAAGAAAAAGTAAGTCACATTTGTGGTAATCATCTTGAGTTTTAGACAAGCACTTAGTGTAGCAGATTAACATCCTGACTTTGTGTTCCAGGAATGCTGATTATTATGAGAAGATCTCTGATCCCCTAGATCTTATCACCATAGAAAAGCAGATCCTCATTGGTTATTATAAGACAGTGGAATCTTTTGATGCTGACATGCTCAAGGTCTTTCGGAATGCTGAGGTATTTTTCACTGACTTCAAACCCAGATTCAAATTTGGTCTGAAGAGAATTATTACAGAAATTTTGAAGATTTTTTAGTCTTCATATTGCTGGTTAGGAAAGGCAGTCATTTTTATTCAGTACTTCTGGGCTGTGTGTTCTAGTGCATTAAATAGTGTAGAATCCTGTATAATAAAGATATTCTAGAATAGAAGGTTAAATAGTTCCTCAAAAAACATAATCTTTGTAAAAACTGAATTTGTCCTTGAACCTTTACATTCTATAGATATTTTACTATATTTAAGGCATATTTGTAACTTCTTTCCTCATGAAAATAATACCTGTGAAATCCACAGAAATATGTATAATAAATGTCTTGAGAATGGAATTGAGGGGCATTATGCTAATAACTTATAAAGTAGATGCATTCTCATTGAAGAGAATGTAACCTTGAACTGATTTAAACAGCAGAATGAAATATTGGATGGTATATAGGAAAGGAAATTACCCAGTGATTTTGAAATAGCCAGGAAGAGATACTTGGAGGACAGAACAAGCTAATAGATAAAGGGTAAGTAGAGGTTGAAAGACTAAGAAAAACAGACAAGTGGAAGGATAGTTACATTCTTAAATTATAACATACTTTCTACTGAAACTTAGCTTCCACATATATTCATTATCTGTAAATCTGCCCCATATATCTATAAGACAAGGGTAAATGGAGAAGTTCTACTATACATTATCCTTGTGACATGAATTCACATTCTGTGATCGTTGTGTATTTGATCCTGTGGACAAAAAAGACCCTTGATGGGAACCGAGTAGAAAAACAGTACAGCAAATGAGAAAATACTATTCAGATTCTAATTTTACTTCATCATAGTTCAGTTTAAGTTGTTACTACGTTAAATGCTCTAGAAAATCTGTTAACCAAAATGGAAGACTAAGAAAATCATACAACCTCTTCAGGTATATTTTTGAGCCAAATTGAGAAGGCCAAACATTTCTTTCTTCTTTCTTCAGAAGTACTACGGGCGTAAATCCCCAATTGGAAGAGATGTTTGCCGCCTCCGAAAGGCCTATTACAATGCACGGCATGAGGCATCAGCCCAAATTGATGAGATTGTGGGAGAAACAGCAAGTGAGGCAGACAGCAGTGAGACCTCAGTCTCTGAGAAGGAGAATGGGCATGAGAAGGACGATGATGTTATCCGCTGTATCTGTGGCCTGTACAAGGATGAAGGCCTCATGATCCAGTGTGACAAGTGCATGGTAAGGGTCAGGAGGTGAAGACAAAGCCTGACGGTGATAAGCATATTCAAGGAAGCAGCCCATGTATTTTTTCACTGGGCAGGCGGCTCTTTTTTTTTGGTAGGCTTTCTGTGAACTGTAACTTAGCCTTGGTTTCTGTTCTCCCTGTCCACCACATTGTCTTTCCTCTCAGATCTTTTCCCTTCTTTTTATACCTCCTATTCTTTCTCTCTACTTGCAACTGTACATTTCTCATATAATCTGCATCAAGGAAGATAATATTTAGAATAGTGTTTTACATTGAAAAATATTAGCGATAGTATAGTCTGTATAGCATCTATATAGGTAGACTGCAATATATAAATTCACATAGGGTTCCTGATGAAGGAGTCAAAGCCTGGATTTAAGCCATACTGTCCTCATTTAATATATGTTAACTCATGAGTAACACGTAGGATTGTCAGGAGGATAAAGTAAAACAAGAATTAAGTGAAAACATTTTGTAATTAATTGTAAAGCCTTCCACAATAACCACATTATAAATGTATATTACTTAGTAGGTAGTAGTATATTCATTTGTCTTCATATTCTCTCTCCATCTCTCCATTTTGTTTGCCTAGGTCAGTATAGTCTGAATTTATCTGTACACTTTTGTTCAGATCCATTATTTTTTGCTCCTATTTTATCATTCATCTCTCTTCTCATTTACCCTCTTATCCCTTAGTTCTTATTTTACTTTACACTCTCCTATTGCTTTTTTATTATTATTAGTTATTAGGACTTCTCTCAATAAATTAATCCCCCCTATCATCCCTCTACAGGTATGGCAGCACTGTGACTGTATGGGAGTAAACTCAGATGTTGAGCACTACCTTTGTGAACAATGTGACCCAAGGCCTGTGGACAGGGTAAGCTGCCCTCTGATAAAACTCTGATGTATAAGTAGGAAAGATAGTACATGCTTCTACTATGCAATATTTCCTCAGATAATTGCTCAGCCTCTCTCTCTTTTTTTGTATTACTGGGGTTTGAACTCAGGGCCTCATGCTTGCTAAGGCAGGCACTCTAATAAACAGTGTCAGTTATACCTAAGATGATACATTTATAAAATCCAGAACTTGGTACTGTAAATACCATTTATAGCCACGCATTGATGGCTCAGACCTGTAATATTAGCTACTTGAGAGGCTGAGATTAGGAGGATCGTGGTTCGAGGCCAGCCCAAGCAAATAGTTTAGGAGACTCCATCTCTAAAATAACCACAGCAGAATAGACTGGAGGTGTGACTCAAGTGGTAGAGCACCTACTTTGCAAATGTGAAACCCTGAGTTCAAACCCAAATTCCACCCAAAAAAAATTTATGTTAGGCAGTGTTAAGTGAGAGAGCACTGGACTTAGTCAGCACTTTCCAGGAGGGAGGGTCAGGGACTTGCTGAAGTTATTAAGTGGATTCTTGTCTAGGCATTGCTATATTTATATGTGTGGTCTTTGGCAAGTCACCTGCATAAAAGGAAACACTAAGCACTTTTTTTTTTTTTTTTTTTGGTGGTACTGGAGTTTGAACTCAGAGCCTTCCACTTGCCAGGCAAGCGCTCTGCCACTTGAGCTATACCTCAGTGGCACCATTTCTGAATAGTGGTACTGTTGTCATATTTAAGTGGACAATTCCTTGTTGTGAGGGATGTATTTCAGAATGTTTGATTTTTCTGGCACTAAATATCAGTAGCATCCCTCAAACACTCATTAACTAACATATCCCTTCACACATTCTCAGATGTTTCCTAGACTGCACAGAATCACCACAAAATTAGTCCTTCATAGAATGTTGTTTGAAATACTTAGCCTATCAATTTTTTCATCCACATTCACTGTTCCAGGTTTAATAACTCTAGTTGCTTTCAGCTTGTTTTTACATCTGTAACATATTGAAATGATTTAACAGTGAGTCTTGAGTAGAGATCTATAGGCTAATTTAATCATTCCAACCTTATCCATTGGCTTTCTTACCAGGAGGTACCCATGATCCCTCGGCCCCACTATGCCCAACCTGGCTGTGTCTACTTCATCTGTTTGCTTCGAGATGACTTGCTGCTTCGTCAAGGTGAGTACATAGACACCAGCCCTACTTGTCAAAACTGACCTTTTTTTTTTTTTTTGCAGTACTGGGGCTTGAACTCAGGTCCTTCACCTTAAGCCACTTCACAGTCCTATTTTTGTGAAGGGTTTTTCAAGATAGGATGCTGCAGAATTATTTGCCTGGGCTGGCTTCAAACTGCGATCCTCCTGATCTCTGCCTTCTAAGTAGCTAGGATTACAGGTGTGAGCCACCAGCACCTGACAAAACTGATCTTTCTGAACAGTAGGAAGTATCTGTTTTCTGCATAATACTTACTGTCCTGTATGGCCTTTGACAGATTTTTATACCTGTGCTTACATCATCACTCCCTCTACCATATAGTACTAATTTGCAGAGGCAGAGGTTTGTAAATCTAATTTTAAAAGCAGAAAAGACACATAGGAAGTCCAAAAGATAAAGGACCTTCCTCATGTAATTCTCATAATTTAGAATTCATTATTACCACCTTTAGATTGCTGATTTTAGCTCTTTGTATTTATTTTGTTTTCAATTGAGGTCTTCCTATATAGACCTTGGGTTAGATAAATGGATGCCTAACAGAATTCATGCAGGAATTATTTTAACTTTCTCCTTTGTTCTTTCCCTTCCTAGGTGACTGTGTGTATCTAATGAGGGATAGTCGGCGCACCCCTGATGGTCACCCAGTCCGTCAGTCCTATCGACTGTTATCTCATATTAACCGAGATAAACTTGACATCTTCCGCATTGAAAAACTCTGGAAGAATGAAAAGTATGTGCTGAGGTCGTATGTCTTCCTTCCAGATGTACCCTACCAGTGAGCAGAATATTCACTGAGATCTTGATAATCAACTAAACTTCTCTCTCTTCATTGTTCTTTTTTTTTTTTTTTAGAGAAGAGCGGTTTGCCTTTGGTCACCACTACTTCCGTCCCCATGAAACCCACCATTCTCCATCCCGTCGATTCTATCACAATGAACTGTTTCGGGTACCACTCTATGAAATCATTCCCTTGGAGGCTGTAGTGGGAACCTGTTGTGTGTTGGACCTTTATACATATTGTAAAGGTAAATGATCTGGGCTAGTTAAGCAATGACCTCATAACCCCTGTTCATTGAACTATAGTTGCCTATCCTATTCTTTTTTGTTTGGTTGATTTTTGTTTTTTGTGGTACTGCAGTTTGTACTCAGGGCCTCACGTTTTCTAGACAGGTGCTCTGCCAATTGAAACACTCCACCAGCCCTTTCTTTGTGTGTGTGTGTGGTAGATATTTTCAAGATAGGGTCTCAAAAACTGTTTCCCTAGGCTGACTTGGAACCCTGATTCTCCTGATCTCCATCTCCTGATTACAGGCATGTAATTAGCTAGGATTACAGGCATGAGCCACTGATGCCTGGCTTTCTCCGCCCCATCCCCCCCCGCCCTTTGGTGGGTGCTAAGAAATTACCTAGGGGTTCACACATGCCAAGCAAGCACTCTACCACTGAGCTATACCACCACCCCCAGCCCTCACCCACACCACTCTTACTATCTCTGATGAAAGACTCTCTAATGCTAGCTATGAAAAGTACATACTTATTTAGTGCTTGTTAATCAATATATGTTCATTCTCCCCTCCCCTTTTTTTTAATATTGTGTACTAATTTCAAATTCCAGTTCCATCACATTTTACTTGTGTGCCCTTGGGCAAGATATTAATACAAGTATCGGTTTTCCAACTTTGAAACAGGATTAGTATTTAGATAGTTTCACAAAGATTAATCTACAAAAGCACTTAGCCTAGTTTGTGGTTTACAGTAAAAGCTGGATATATGTTAGTTGTCATTATCAGCAAAGTTCTGTTATCTAACCCTTTGTCTCAGTATAAAAGCAAAATTGTCCAAAATAATATATATTCCATTGCATATTGACAAACTGCTTGCATCACTGTGACACTGATGACTTCTTCTCCCATTTAAAAAGTGTTCACTTCCAGATGTGCTTTTCTCATACTTACGTCTCCTTTCTTTTCTCATAACTCCCCTGTAATCTCGGGTTATCTCTCAGGTACTCAAAAAAACCTGCAGCATTCAATTGACATTTCTGGCTTCTTTCCATTCTGTGTTACTCCATTCTGCTTTTATATTCCCTGTCTCCTTTTTGGACACTACTGTTTGAGAACTTTCCTTTTATTTTTAACCACCAAATGCTTAGTTGTTCTGTCTTTCCAAATAGCCACAGTGTTTCCTTTTTATAGGTTTTGCTGCTCTCTTACAGTAGCCTCTGGGTGACTGAGGGAAAGAAAGGGGGAAATTGGATTCTTTAACACTGTTTGGACACACAGGGAGACCCAAAGGAGTGAAGGAGCAAGATGTATACATCTGTGATTATCGGCTTGACAAGTCAGCCCACCTGTTTTACAAGATCCACCGGAACCGCTATCCTGTCTGCACCAAACCCTATGCTTTTGATCACTTCCCCAAGAAGCTCACTCCTAAAAGAGATTTCTCAGTAAGTCACTTTTATTCTTAACGCTACATGTTAGAACAGTTTGATTTGTGCATGGATGTGATACAGAGAATCTTCAAGTGGCTCTCTGCTTCTTCATCCTGTTCCCAAGTCAAGCTGAAAATTTCCATCTGTTTGAGACCTTTCAACAGCATAAGTCTGTTTCCTCACATGCAACTCAGGAAATTGTTGATTATAGTGTTATACCTTTATTGAGCTTTTTTTTCTTTTTTTAACCTCTCACCTCCTCTTTAATCTTTGCTTTTAGCCCCACACAGGTAGTTTTTTGTTTTGTTTTTCATACTCATACCTTTTTTTTTTTTTCAAGGTACTGGGGTTTGAACATAGGGCTTCGTGTTTGTTAAGCAGGCACTCTACTGCTTGTGCCACACCTCGAGCCCTTTTTGTGCTGGTTATTTTTGAGATTGGGTCTCACTGTTTGCCCAAGTTGACTTGGACCACAATCCTCCTATTTTACACTTCCCACTATAGTTGGGGTGACAGGTACATACCACTGCACCCAGTTATTAGTTGAGATGGGACCTCAAGAACTTTTTGCCTGGGCTAGCCTGAAATCACAATCCTCCCTGTCTCAGCATCCCAAGTAACTAGGATTACAAGTATGAACCACCAGCACGTGGCTCATACTCATAATTTTAAGAAGCAAATTAAAAAGAGTAGCAAAAACCATTAAAAACCTGTAGTGAAAATAATTTGATCCTTTTCCCTTTTATACCTGATCAGAAACACATGACATGATTGTTATATGAAATTTGTATTACAAGTATTAAGAAAAGAAAGAAAGAAAAAAATATTAAGAGCCAGGTGTGGTAGTGCCTATCTCTAACCCTAACACTTGGGAGACTAGGGCACAAGGATCTTGAGTTCAAGATCCTGCCTCAAAATAAAAGAGGGTGGGCATGGTGGTACATATCTGTAATCCCAACTACTCCAGAAGTGGAGGTAGGAGTATCGTAGTCTGAAGCTGGCCTGAGCAGAAACACAACACAGTATCTGAAAAACAAACTAAAAGCAAAAGGACTGGAGGAGTAACTCCTTGCTACAATCAATCCCCAGTGCCACCAAAAAAAAAAAAAAAAAGCACTAAGAATAAAATTGGGCAGGGTCCATGTAGATAGTCTGAGACACTCAGGAGGCAGAGAATGGGAGTATTGCAGTTGGAGGCTAGCCCAGGCAAAATGTTGGACAACCCTATCTAAACAATTTTAAAAAGCTAGGCATGGGGCTAGCAGAGTGGCTCAAGTGGCAGAGCACTTGCCTACCAACGTGAGGCCTCGAGTTCAACCCCTAGTAACATCAAAAGGAAAGAAAAAAAACTTGAAAAAAAAAAAAAGCTAGGCATGATGACATGTGCCTGACATCCCATCTGTGCAGGAAGCATAAACAGGAGGACTGTAGTCAAGACCAATCCAGTCGTAAACTCAAGACCCTATCCCAAAAACAACTAAAGCAAAAAGAACTGGAGGCATGACTCAAGTGGTAGAGCATCTGCCTGGCAAGCTTGAGGCTCAGTGTTCAACTCCCCAGTTCCACCAAGAAAAAAAAAAGAAATTGTGTTATTAGCCCATGACCTAGAAAATATCTGTTGTTACCTTTTTCAGCCTCTTCCTTGTGTATTTTTTCTTTGCAATTGTTGAGAACATATGCCAGTAATTTTCATTCATTATTCCATAAAGATTTTAGTCAGCCATTAACTTGTTTGCTATAATGAAATCCCAGCTGACAGGCTCCTCATCTTTGAGTCTTCCTTTAGTGGGAATGTTAGCTTTCCATCACTGTGACAAAACACCTTAGATATTCAACTTATAAAGAGGAAAGATTTATTTTGGCTCACAGTTTCTGAGATTTCAGTCCATAATTGCTTCGCTGCATGCTTTAAGCCTGTGATAGCACAGTGTATCATGACAGGCGCACAGGACAAAGAAGGCTGTCCAGCTCATGTCACCCAGGAAGCAAAGAGAGTGAGGAAGAGACCAGAGTCCCCCTAACCCCCAAGCCCCTCACCAAAGCTTCTACCCCTCCCGCTAGCATCACAGGCTGGGAACCAAGCCTTACCACATGAGCCCTTCAGGAACACGTCCAAACTTCAGCCATCAAAATTTGTAGGTATCACCTGGAATGCTCAGAAATATTCTAACCAGAAATCAAACCTATATATCCTCTATTCTTCCCCTTTTTTTTCTTTTTTATTTTTCTAGGCTTTTTGTCTTCTCTCTGCCTATTGCCACATCCACTCCTCACATTTATACTTCTTTGGTCTTGCTTGCTTGCTTAACAGTGCACTGGTTAGCTTTGAAACCCCAATTCTCCACTTCTCCTCACCTTTTTTTGAGATAGGGTCTTGCTTTGTAGCCCAGACTGGCCTGGAACTCTTTATCCTCCTGCCTCAACCCCAAGTGCTGGGATTACAGGCCTGTGCCACAACATTCAACTCACATATTTCAAAAGTAAAAAGGGCAAATAAAATTGTGAGTTTATCTCTTCTACTGTCATTCTAGGGTTGCAAAAAATGGTAAAAACCATCATGACCTACAAATTGATAGAAGTGTTGAACTTCTGACCTTAAGACACAGTCACCCACATACCTCCCTTACCCTAAGTGACCCCAGATAAGATCTAGCTACCAGCTTCCACAGTATGCTTACCTATTCCTTTTCTTCTCCACAGCCTCATTATGTCCCAGACAACTACAAGAGGAACGGAGGGCGGTGAGTCCTAGGGGGATGTGAGGGACCCTAAGGGATTGACCAAGAACTTAAATGGAGTAAGAAAACAAGCAACCCGGGCACTGGTGCCTCACGCCTATAGTCCTAGCTACTCAGGAGGCAGAGATCAGTAGGATCACGGTTCAAAGCCAGCCCAGGCAAATAGTTTGTGAGACCCTGTCTCGAAAAAACCCATCACAAAATTATGCCTAGTAGAGTGGCTGAGGGTGTAGGCCCTGAGTTCAAACCCAGTACCACTAAAAAAAAGAAAACAAGCAACTCACCACTCAGCTCCACTACTAGGATTGGGTATTCTCTGCAGAGTAACCCAGTGTCAACACTAATAAGGAAGAACTAGTCTTCGGTGGGTATGGTCCCAGTAGGCAGCCTTAGTTAGCTAAGGGAGATTTGCGGAAAATAGAAGAGCTACAGGCAGACTCAATACGTTTCTTCTTTTTAGGTATCTTCAAGCTTCCCAATACCTCCTAATGCATCAACTCTTAGGACTTCGGTTAAGAAACAGATACTGTCACAGTTTGCCCTGAACATGGGCTCACAGTTGTTATTTTGCTTATTTTGTGCATGCGTGGCATGTTCCTTATGGAAGGCTTTTCTTCCATTTCATTACCTGTTTAATGGTAACATAAGTGACTGCTTTCCCCTCAAAATAGTCTACCATAAGGGAGGACATATTCGTAATAGATGGGAAAAAGGGATTCAGGAAAAGTAAAAAACCCTGTTTAAATACTTACTAGTTATTATTGGACCATGGGTATCACAGCCATATTTCTTCTCTGCAGTCAGGGTAAGCTAAGCCATTTTACCTGCCCTGGTATATTTTTTTTATAGGTTTCTAGCTCATTTTCACTTCAGATCTCTGCAAAAGAGAAGAAAGGTTTAGCTGGGCACCAGTGGCTTACTTCCGTAATCCTAGCTTACTTGGGAGGCCGAAATCGGGAGGATCGCGGTTTAATTTCAGCCCAGGCAAATAGTTCACGAGACCCCCATCTCCAAAATAACCTGAGAAAAATGTACTGGAGGGTGGCTCAAGCAGTAGAGCGCCTGCTTTGCAAGTGCAAAACCCTGAGCTCAACCCCAGTCCTACCAAAAAAAAGAAAAAAGAAAAATTTAATCTTACAAACAGAAATTAAATTTTAGAGAAAAGTAATGATTTATACAACTGCAATAATGTTAAGGCCATCGTCAATTGTCTTATTTCTAGCCAAGGTTCTAGTAGCTACACTCCAGGGTCTCAAGACCCTTCTTGAGGAATAAGATTAAGAATAAAGAGACTTCTACCCTTTATTCTTCTTCCCAAATGCTTTGCTCAGCCTTGTCCTAAATTCACATATCGTTTTGGCAGATCATCTTGGAAATCCGAGCGCTCAAAGCCACCTCTAAAAGACCTGGGCCAGGAGGACGATGCTCTACCCTTAATTGAAGAGGTACTAGCCAATCAGGAGCAAGCAGCCAATGAGATGCCCAGCCTTGACGAGCCAGAACAGGACAGCACCACTGCTGAAGTCAATGAGAGTGAAAAAAAAACAGAAGAAAGTAGTCAGGATTCCCAGTCAGTCTGTACCCCTGAGGAACGACGGCATAACCAAAGGGAACGACTCAACCAGATCTTACTCAATCTCCTTGAAAAAATCCCTGGAAAAAATGGTAAGAAGATTCAGGCTCAGATCTAGGGTTGACAACAAATGAGAAGTAAATAAGTGGAAGCCTGGCATGGTGTTTCAAGCCTATAATCCTAATTACTTGAGAGGCAGAGATCAGGGAGATACATAGTTCAAGGCCAGCTCAGTCGAAAAATTAGCAACACCCCCATCTCAACAAAAGTCAGGCGTAGTAGTTCATGCCCTATCTGAAAAAAACTAAAGCATAAAAGGACTGGGAGCATGGCTTAAATGGTAGAGTGCAAGAACTTTTTTGGTTTTGCAGTATGGGGAATCAGTTCCTGGATATCACACATGCTAGGCAAGCTGTCTACCACTAAGCTATAGCCTCAGCCCCTAAGACAACTTCTAATTACTGGACCAGCATAGAAAGTGTTTTAAGAAAATGGTAACAGTTCTTTTATAGGCTTGCCCTTAGTTACATCTTTACAGTGAAACTCTAAGAGGTGAGATGGTCTCCTTCCCGAGCGAACTGTCCTTTTGGGGTTGGGAATCCTAGCTCCATTTTGAGCACTTGCCTACATATGATGCCCTGGGTTTGATCCCAGCAGAAAAAAAAAGGTGTTTTTAGAGCTTCAGTCTGGGATAAGGAGTGTAAGGAGTGGGAGAGTGGTGTTTGATGAGCCTCCTTGGTTCTGTTTTCAGCCATCGATGTGACCTACTTGCTGGAGGAAGGATCAGGCAGGAAACTGCGAAGGCGTACTTTGTTTATCCCAGAAAACAGCTTTCGGAAGTGACCTTCAAAGAATGAGAACCTCAAGCATCTGGGATTCAGTGGAACTAATCAGTCCTATCTCCTGCTCTGTGGGTGTGGACAGGAGCAGGAAAGGGCCATCCAGGCAAGGGGAATGGGGTCATGTCGTTGATACTAGGTACTTAAACCTTGGAGCCAGTGGAGAGGAAGAGGAAGGATATCTGTCTGAGACAGTTCAGTTTAATTAATTTTCCTCTCCATTGCTTCACCCTAAGGGTTTATAATGTAGAGAAGAGGGAGGACCACATTGGGGAAGACCAGAACCTATTGGTACTTTACAGCACTTGCTTCTCCCCACAGCGTGGGTCTTTCTGAGTCATCCTCTGATCCCACAGGCACTAAGAAGCTGCTTCCTATACCAAGGTATAACTCAAAATCCAAAGGGAAAGGGCCAGGATCCCCAGCTCTACCCCATTTCTCCTCTGTTGGCTCTAAGAGCTACCCCAGAGACCTAAAACAGATACAGTTGCTGGGGCGTCTTTTGAGACCTTGACTAGGAAAGTTTCTCTCTCCTTTCTTACCCAACCAGGTCAAAGTAAAACATGAGTTGACAGCTCAAAGCACTTGTAATTGCTGCCCCTCTCCCTACCTCTACTCTCCAAAAATGGAGTCATGGGATAGGGGAAGGCCCCTATGGGGTCAGAAGGGCAGCACTTGTAATTATTTTTGTTGTACCCTTCATAACCTGCCGAACGTATTTTTTCTGAGAAAGCCAAGTCCCCGCCAGCACACATGCTGTTTTGATGCGCTGTGGTTCTTGTGTGTCTGCTGTGCTGTGCAAATGAAGACTTATTTCAGGATAAAATCATTTTTAGAACTACATAAATTAACTCGAAACCCCTCCTCCAACAACAATCACTACATAAACTGTTCAGCAGTATTCATCCATCAAGAGTATTTGTTGTAAGTGTGGATTATCAATTGAAAACACTACTCCTATTTTCTTAATTGTATAGTTTTGAGTGTCCATCTCTTCAAGAGACATGTGTTCTCTTTACCCCAGCCCCATCTTCCTTCCACCCTCCTGAATGACTTTGTCATCAAGAGATATATCCAGGGTCTCCTTCCTTTCCATTCTCTTGACCAGAAGTTATCAGACTATAATGTCTCTTTAAAAATAAAATTTTAAAAGCTTTGCTTTGTCTACTCAGACCTACATATGCATATACGTTTTAGATGTTCTTATAAAAGATGGTTTTTAAATGTGCCAAGTTGTATGTGTATATATATATGTGTGTGTGTATATATATATATATATGTGTGTGTGTGTGTGTGTGTGTGTGTATATATATATATGCTGCGTGATTGGTAAGCAATACAATAGTAAAACATGTCCCAATTACTTTTTTCTAATATTGGACCAATGCTGTCCTAATTGTACATTTCCCCTTATGATTATGACGCTCTGACTCGTTTAGATAGAAACATTGACCATCTTCCATTCCATCGATTTTTTTTCTTTTTCTCCTTTCTATGTCATTCTTGAGAAAAAAACAAAAAAAACAAGAGGCAGGGGGTGCCATAGATCCCCTTGAGCAGAGAAAAAGCGAAATAAATATTTTATTAAAGAAAAAAGAGAAATTAAGGAAATAGTTTGGAGTATTTTCTTACTGTAGAGAAGCACTGTACAGTACTAAGAGACCTGGGTATAAGATACTCACATGTGGAGCTGGGAAATCGCATGTCCAAGCCCGGTTGAGTGGTTTTTTGTTTTTTGTTTTTCATTGCAGGGAATGGGTGGGAGGGAGGTGGGACTAGGGGCACTTTGGGGGTCTCCTTTTAGTCAAAAGCAAGAAAAAACAAGAAAGAGATTAAATTCAATGTTTCCTTTAATAGTGTTAAACACTAAGATTTTAAAAACATGAAAAAAAAAAACTTTGTAAAATGCAAGAACAGAAGCAAAAGACACTACGCTCTGTCATTTTATCTTTCTTTTGTTGAAAGACTAAAAACTGAAATGTTTTTTAGACAATCAAATGTTAGGTAAGTGCAAAAACTTGTTTTTCTTACTGGTGTAGAAATTAATGCCTTTTTTATTTTTCAGTTATTTTATAATAACAAAATAAAAAGAACCCCCAGCTGCCAGGCGGGTTTTGGTGTTTGAAATGCGGGGCAAAGCACTACATCACTGCAAATAGATACAGTTAGTCTGCATGTCTGTAGGCTGTGTGATTGCGGAAAATATAAATGCTGCTAATATATTTCCTTTTTACAAAAGCATATCTAAATAGATGATTGTTTTGATGTTAATCTTTGTAAATTATGTATTACCAATTTTAACATTGGATGTAATTGCATAAAAGCTTGCATCTCAATCCTTGAAAGTCTAGTATTAAATGGAAAAAACTTTTCCTAACTGCAGCGTGGTGAGCTTGCTATTTTTTCCTCTTTCCTACCCTCCATTTATCTTCCAGCATCTTCTCCATCCTATTTCCAGTGGGATCTCTCTGAACCCACATCACCAGCATCCTGGGCCCCACTTGAGCACACTCATCACTGTTGACTATTGGAGAAAGCCAGTTCTTCAGTTCTAGGATCTTTCTAGTTGGATCCAGCTGTTTCTCAACATGCCATGCTATTCTGTACATTCATCTTTTGTACACACATGCCTTATTTAATACTTATTAGTAACATCTGAGGCTGGCAATAACTTCCACTGAGCTACACCCCAAGCCTGAGGCCACTTTTTTGAGATAGGGTCATACTATCTAGCCCAAGCCCTTGAATTCAACCCTACTGCCTCAGCCTCCCGTCTCCTGAGTGCTGGGATTACAGGCATATACCATCACATCTGGCTCCAAGTCTACATATTTAGTCTACACTATGTATTAGACCATTTCTATCAGAAGAACTTTCCATGTATTTATCAGTCCTCACAACAGCCCTTTTGGTAGATAACAAAACCCAATTTCATACATGAGGAAACTGAAGCAACCGTTATGAATCACGTAACTACTCAGTATTCACAATAGCCATCTGAAGTTACCATTCCCATTTTGTAGAAATAAAAACTAAAGCTTAGGAAGGCTAAGTACCTTGTCAAAGATTACATCTTCATTAGTGTTGGAGCCAGAACCCCATTCTGTGTGCTCAAATAGAAAACTTTCAGAAATAGCCAAAATGACCCTACTAATTGTGAAAATCAACCCATTCCTGCCAATGACTGAAAGAACAAAATTTTGTCCCAGACAAGGGACAGGCATTTAGCTAGGAGCTCAGATAGCATAGTTACTAAGAAGCAGCAAGACAATTGAGTGCAAGAGCTCAGTCTCTGCTGCTACAACAACCTGGGGTTCAAGACCACATGAAGGTGCTCACTGTTACATAACAGTCTTCATAACTGCAAAAACAATACATTAGTGTTAAATTTTATCTTTCATTTTTTAAACCTTTTGTATCTACTAGAGCTCTTCTGATCTACATATAATAATGTTGCAAAACTAAGTTTTTATCGTTTGACCTATTTCACATTCTACAAAGAAATCCTACTGCTCCATTCCCACCTGCACAAGGTAAAAACCCATTAGGCTGTGGTTGCAGATGTCACAGCAGGCCACATCACACTGATGCCCTAGCAGTACTCTGGATCTCTTTGTAGTTACCACCCACTCTGAAGCCAAGTACTAAGAGTCAGAAGCAGGAAGAGGGCAGGTTGTACCATAGGAAATAAAAGCTGTCATAAGTGTTTCTGAAACTTAAGAAATCATGGGCCCCAAGACTACTCTGCAGATCTGAGAAATGTCGGTCCAAATGTCAAAGTGATAACAGTCTTCCATAATGACCATCGCATAACTTTAAACATAAAAATATAACTTCTAGGGCTGATGGAGTGGCTCAAGTGGTAGAGCACCTTACCTAGCAAGCGTGAGGCCCTGAGTTCAAACCCAGTACTGCAACAAAAACACACACACAAACTTACTTTGTGCTAGTAATTTGCAACTGAAGGAACTTCATAAACTCAAACTTAGACTCACTCCTTTAACAATAAAACGGGATTCCCAGAGGCCCTCAGAATCCAGTTTGAGAAGCATCACCCTAGAAAACGCCTGAAATGCCAACATCTAAAATTGTAAGTGCAAACACAAGAAGCAAAGTTAAAGCAAGGAGTGCTAGACAACATGAATTAGCTGGGAGTCAGAACCACGTAAGCCTTAGGAAATGACATGAGGCATCTGTCCACTCCCACTTCCAGGACTTTGAATCTAAGATTTTATCTCCCCAGGGCCCCTCCCTTGTCACTAGCCCATTTCCTTCAACCAAGTTTCCAAAGATAGGAAAACTCCATGTTTCACCTCATAGTTCTCAGCTTCTCCCTAATTTTCCTGCTGCATGGTTACAATTATAGCTTCCGTTCTAACCTTTTGATTTCTCCTCTATAGACAACCTCTTAGTGATTCCCAACCCCATCTTCAAACCCCTGGAGCTTATTAGCTCGTCTTTTTTTTTTTTTTTTTTTTGCGGTTCCAGGGCTTGAACTCAGGGCCTACACCTTGATAGGTTTTTTTTCCAGATAGGGTCTCACAAACTATCTGCCCAGGCTGACTTCAAACCACAATCCTCCTGATCTCTGCCTCCTGAGTAGCTAGGATTACAGGTGTGAGCCACCAGCACCCAGCTAGCTCTTCTCATTATTTCAAAAGATTAAAAGGAAACGCAAGCGCCTAGCAAAGTAATAAATTGTAAGTTATTTTGCTTCTACTTAAAATTATATCACCACAGAATGGCAATGGTAAATTTTTTAAAATGTCACTTTTTGTAACTAATCTTTCCCTTCACCTTAGAAGGTAATGAATCTAATGAGTATAATTTCAAGGGCTAAGTCTTTCCCTTTTTTGGCAGCACTGGGGCTTGAACCTCAAGACCTCACACTTGCTGGGCAGGCACTCTACTGCTTGAGCCACTCCACCAGCCCAAAGTCTTCCTTCTTTCCCAGTATTTACTCACTCCTAATCATACCAGTCTTAACAGAACAAAGCAAGTCTCAGAGCAACATTTGTGAGATTACATACACCAAGCAGGGAACATGGTAAGAGGCTCTCCCTTCTCCTTCCCCATAGCTTGTGTCTTGAAACCCACAGTGACACACACACACATTCTACTCCCACACTTTATTGGACAAAGGAAAGAGGCAGACCAATACCACAGGCCCACCCACCAGGGGTGTTGAGGCTTCAACGACAGCCAGCGCAGCGTGAGTAAGTCATAAATTACAGGCAAAGAAGGATGGGGAGGGAGGAAAGCGTCCGTACGCAGCAAGGAGACTACGGGCCTCCTAGGTTGGGGCCAGGCATGTACTGTGCTGGCACAGTCCACTTAGGAATGAGGGTAGGACAGGGCTAGATTCTATTTTGCAGATAGGACACGTTCCCTTATACAGATGGGAAAGAGGAAAGGAAGGGGTTGCACGGAGGGGAATTCATTTTCAGTATATTTGGAAGAGCAGATTTCACCTTAAAGATGGGCATGAAGGGGAGGACAGTTTATTTTAAATATAAGAAATGGATGTGGGAAAAAATGTCATTTTGCAGACAGGAAAGATGCTTCTGGGATAATCAGTTTACATGGATTAGTGTTCGTGGGCCTTTCCATTCCCAGGTGACAGGAGGGAGACAAACAGGAAAGGGTCCTGGGGCTAGAGAACCAGGGAGGTGTACCCCACAGGCACCAGCCCCTCCACACCATCCCGCCCACAGCGGAGCCAGTCCTCATCCACTGTGGTGATGACACGTAGCACTTCCCCACGCCGGAAGCTCAACTGGTCAGGTCCTGCAGCAGAGTGGTCACAAAGAGCCCGAACCGCCCTGAGGGGAGCCAGAGGAAGACGCTGGGATGAAAAGAGGTGGGGTACCCAGCTGTCCCCAAGCCTCACCTCCCTACTGCATAGAGTGCCCTTGCTGGTTCAGCGTGGTGAACACTGACTTAACTCCATTAGCATGTTGAGTCTCTCCAGGGCCTTAGCCTCCCTGAGCACCAAGCCCACTTCAGCTGTTAACACTGTTTGCACTTGTCTTTGGTGTTTCAAAGTCAACATATGCAAATAACTGACTCTTAACACTCCAAACCAGGCTACTCATCTATACCTGGTAAACAGTCACCCACTCCTCACGCCCAGTCCATCACTGAGGCCTATTTGATGTTTGTACCTCCCACTACTACATCCACTTTTGGCCTCTAAGTCAACTACCACTGTCCGAGTTTAAGCCTCTAGCCTCTCTCTAGAACACAGCATGTAACCATGAGTTTGGCCTCTACCTCCGCCCAACGCCATTCTGCACATGGCAGCCACAGATTTTTCTAAAGCACAAGAACCACACCACTACCAGGCTTAAGACGCTTCAGGCTCCTCCTACCTCAGAAAAAAGTCAGGGCTCCTTACCTGGCCCACTAACCTCTGCATTAGTACCTACAGTTCTTCACTAGCTACCCTCAGGCCTCCTGCCTTTGCCTCCATTCTTCCTGCCAGATGCACTGAGCACCATCAGATCCACCATCACTAAAGGCTGAAGACATGGTCCCAAAGGACTCAGTCTTTCTTTCCTAGTTTTTATCATAATAAATTATAATCGCTCATCTGTTCATTGGTATCTCCCCTGAGCTACATGCTCCATGAGAGCAGGGACTCCATATATGTTGACCTTTATACTCCCTTCCCTGACATAATGCTTGGTACATAGCAAGTGCCTGAAATGTACTGAATGAATGAAAAAACAAGAAGCTTAATTCAGTGGCTTGAAAGAACCCAAAAGAAACAAGACCCCAAAGCAGAAGCAGCCCCTGGTCCCAAAGTAGGATGTGTCCCCACTAAAGGGACACAGGTCCTTCACTGTAAACATACCTATTATGTGCCAAACGCTTTTATGAAAGTATGTTTAGCCAGGCATGGGGGCTACACACCTGTAATCACAGCACTCAAGAGGCTGAAGTAGAAGGATCATGATTTCAAGGCCAGCCTAGGCTACACAGCAAGACCCTATCTAAAAACAACAAAAATAAAAGTATATTTAATCTTCAATAGTAACTGTAACAACATTATAAATTATCCCTATCCTCCTCATTTTTTGAGACAGGGTCTCAACTATGTAACCCAGGCTGATCTTGAACTCCTGCCTCAGCCTCATGAATGCTGGGATTATAGGCATGCACCACTATGCCTGGCATCCTCTTTTTTACCAAGAAAGAAACAGGATCAGAGAAATTAGTACCACCCAGTAACAAACTGGAAAGATTCAATGCAATCCAAGCACCTGTTACACTACCTCCTGTCCATTCTGTGAAGACTGAAACACACACATAGAACCCAACTCTTGGTTAACCCAGCTGCATTCTTGCTAGCCCTTACCTGTGGGCTTCCACCATGCTGGCTGTGGAGACCACAAGTTCCTCAGAAGGAGTCTCAGAAGGTGTACCCCGCCTCACCAGAGCCAACACACTCATTGTTGGGGGCAGCCAACTAGATGGTCTCCTGAAGGGAAGAACATAGTGACAGCAGTCACCCCACATCCAGAAAAAGAACCCAAAACCCCAGGGGCTTAGAGGGAGAAAGAAGCTGAGGGTCCAGACTGGCTCTAACTAGGTCAGGAGTTGGTCCCTGCTGAGAACAGAGAGGCAGCTGGGGGACAGAGGTACCTTTAGAGTGATTGGGGAGATGACAGTAAAGGTCTACAACACCAAAAGTCACAAGGAAACTGGAAGCTACAGGGTCTATACAGGTTTAGAAAGACCCAGAGGGTCCATTACAGAATACCTGAGCCATTAAAGAGCCACTGACGGGTCAAGTCCTAGAACGAATCAGATAATATTTTCAGCTCTAAGGGCCAGGAGGTGAATTTGAGAAAACCGTTGGGTGCCAGTGGCTCACGCCTGTAATCCTAGCTACTCAGGCTCAGGAGGATCGAGGTTTGACGCCAAACTATTTGCAGCCTGGGCAAATAGTTCACAGGACCCTATACTGAAAAATCCCTTCACAAAAAAAGGGCTAGTGGAGTGGCTCAAAGTGTAGGCCCTGAGTTCAAACCTCAGCACTGAAAAAAAAATTGAGAACATTATATAGGTACTTACATAGCCATTAAATTGTAACCACTTAAGAACAACCATTTTGTTCATGGTTTCTAAAAAAAACACAGACCACCCATCTCTTACCTAAAGGATCATGAGTCCTAGAGAGTTCAAATGAGGCCACTGAGGGCACTAAGGGGTCAGAGGTCACAAAAGGGACAAGGCACTCAAATACCTGGACTTGAAGGCTCCACTCTCAGTTTCTGTGGGGCCCCCAGGAACACCAAACAGTCTCCCGAACCATACGCCTCTGCCAGGTGCTGCTTGCTCTGCAGGCAGGGATCTCTCCTGCGCACCCTCAGCTGCAGTTCCATGATGCCTGGGTCCCCACCGAGGAAGAGGGAAGCCCTCAGTGCTCCCAGAGGCATAGACCCGGGAGGCCTGTGTCAGCTGTTCCCACCAGCTGCCTGATGGGGAGGAACTTGGGGGAGAGGAAGGGTTGGGAACAGTCTCTCCAGAAGTCCCCCGGAGACTCTGGGCCAGCCGTTCCCCCCAGTGCAGCATTGCCTGTACAGTCTGCTGCAGGGCTGGAGGGGGTCCTGGAGGGGCAGGGGCCTGAGCTGGGCCCAGGGGCAGGTGGTGGTGGTGCTCAAAGAGCAGGTCCAGGTGGAAGGTGAGCACCGACAATGGCTGCAGCAGGAGCAGCAACTCTGTTGACAGGGACGGGCAGCCACCTCGTGCCAGGGAGAAGAATCCCGTGGGCAGATACAGGAGGGACAGCAGGCCTGAGAAAAAGCAGGCAGCATCAGCCTCCACACTGGGCCCAGGTCCAGAAGACCTCCTGCATCAGCCCTGGAGTCAACAAACATCCTCCCAGGCCTCACTCTGTGAGTACTGGGGCAGGTGGGCTACAGGACAGACAGACACATCTCTGCCCATGTGGAACCATGACCTCCGGAGAGATGCATGCTGAGCAAGTGATGGTAAGTGAGTAACCACCACGTGAGGGCCTGGGAGCACACAGGAAACCAGGTGAGGGCGGGCCAGTGGGAGGGCAGAGGCGGAGCCCCAGTGAGGAAGGACCCACAGGAGGAATGAAAGTTAATAAGGAAGCAGAAGGGGGAGGGTGGGCTATCCTAGCAGGAAGAACAACATGAGTAGAGTTGTCACTACTGGGGCCAGGAGGACCAGACAGGAAGACTGTTAAAGAAAGCCCTGGACCTCAGGCAGAGGAAGAGAAAGGCCAGATGTCCAAGGCTTTGAGTCTTTCCTCCAGTGGGCAGTGGGACTTCCTGGAATAGCTTTAAGCAGAAGAGTAATAAGATCAGAGATCTGCCATCAGTGAGAACCAACAGGAGAGACCCCCTTCCGTCCTTCCAGCCCAGTAACCCTACCCTTTCCCATTGAGCCTCTGACCTGCATCTTCCTGGAGACTGGAAAACCACAGCTCCAACTGCTTGGTGCTGGGGGAGAGAGGGAAAGGAAGTTTATGGAGGTGGAGGACTCTAGTGTCCCAATGTCCCTGAGACTGGGAGAGGGAAGGGTTTCTCTAGGAGGGTGATGCCCAGGTGGCCACGGGAAGGAGCAGTGGACAGAAGGCCACTCACTTGAGAAGGCCCAGGATGAAAGCATGGAAGCGGCTGCGACTGCTGCTCAGTGGGGCCAGACGGCTGACCTGGCTGTACAGGGATCCCAGAGAATGGGTGCTGGAGCCTGAGGACAGGGGCACGGTCAGCCAGGGCCTGGCCCTGCTCAGAGAGGGTCCCATGGCCCTCCCAGCTCACCTGGCTTCACAGATGCCTCCACCACGCTCCAGGGGCTGCTCCTGCGCTGCCCAGTGATGAGGTCCTTCCGGAAAGGCTTCAGCCCGTCAGCCACCAGGGTGTGGAGAGCCGGGCAGAGGGTGGTCAGCACCAGGTGCCCCACATCGGGGCTCAGCCGACTATCCCCCAACTGGGCCTGGAGACCGTCCAGAGACAATGTCCAGCCACCGCCAGCCAAATGTTCCCACTCCCCCAGAGCTACCTAAATGTCCAGATCCCAACATCCTCCCTTCAGTCACCCTCACCTTCTGAACCAAGTTCCGGGCAGCCCCAAAGTGGGAGATGATTTTATCCACTGAGGCGCTGACAGCTATCAGGAGACCTGGGAGGGGGCGGGGAAGAGAAGACACATCAAAACCGGGGTCTCTATCCCAGGTATAGCCAAGGAGCATGGAAAGGCTGTTTTATGCAATTCAACCCCTAAAGCCTAAGAGGCACCTAGGTGAAGAGCAGCTCACTCAGAAGCCAGGGGACAGGAGTCAGGATGACCTACCTTTTTTCTGCTCCTGCAGTTGGCCAGTCCCACTCTGGGCTTCTGCCATCCACAGCCGCTGGACCCCGGGAACACCAGCGAACGACCAGGAACTACGAACTGGGTGAGGGAAGAACGCAGGGACGCTTACTTACCAGGTTAGCCTCGAGGACGTCGGCTCCCGCACGGGTCATCTCCTGAGGGTTTGCAGCGCCCCTGCCCCTGAAGGGTCTTGGGGAGAAGGGGGGACAGAACCGCATGGAGCGACCTGGCCCCGGAGTGGAATTCTGCACATATCCCAGCACTTGCAGGGGCCCCCACCTCGGTTCCCATTTCGCTTCCTCAGGGCCCAGCTCCCACCTCCTCGATCCGGGAAGTCCCTGAGCTGGACAGCAGCGCTCAGCCCCCCTACAAGGCCAGCTGGGGCCTATAAGGCGGGATTTGACTGCGCGAGGGACCGGAGAGTCAGCCCTGCGCCCTGCGTCTGACCCCCGCCCGACCCGAGAGCACGTGGGGAGCCTGGACCAATGGAAAGACAGACAGACGGAAAAGGGAGAGACTGAGGGAGGTGAGACCCAAAGGTTGGGAGGCTGGAAGGCGAGGGAAAAGGGAAACCCAGCTCTCACTCCCGCTAGTCGGCGGTGGGCGCCTATGTCGCCCTCCTTGTGAGGCGAGATTCATGGACCCGGCGTGGCCAGGACCCAATGAGCTCCAGGGAGCAAGGTTTGAGTAAGGCCGGAACTGCACTGGCCGAGGAATTCTACAGTGTGACCCAAAGTCACACTGGGATCCTCAGATGCCAGGTAGGCCGGCATCCACTATGTCCAAGGCGAGCCTGGAGAAAGAGGTGCCCGGCAGGCCCGGAGCCGGGAGTAACAACCCTCCCCACCCACAGCACGAGGCGCGAGGTCAGAAGAACTAATGCACTTTGGAACTTGCTTGGAATCTGCCCAAGTTGAAGGGTGGGGACCCAGCCAGGCAACCTGGAAAAAAAGCTAAAACCGGGGGCCGGGCCAGGGTGGAAGGGGCCTCGGAGTGGGCGGGGCGGCCCGCCGGAGGCGTGGCCTGCCGGGCTTGCCCGGGTCCGTCTTACGTAGCCTGGGCGGAGGCGGTGGGCTCCTGGTCCAGCGAGGGGCCTTCGGCGGACGAGGTGGCGGTGGCAGCGGGGGGGCGGGTACCTGGCGGGGCGGGGGAGCCGCGGCGGGAAAGGTGCTACTTCTGGGAAAGAGCGGGGACAGCAGCAGTGCCAGCTCGGGACTGGCCAGGCAGGGCAGGGCCCCCCTAGTCGGAGGCGAATAGGCCCCCACTGGGGACAGGCGGACAGGCAGCAGCTGCTCCTCCGGGGGACTCGGCGCCCCCAACAGCCTCAGCCCGGTGCTGGGCCACCCGGCCAGAGGCGCCAGTAGCAGGGACCCAGCTGCGCCCGCGCCCCCACCCTCCAACAGGGGGCGCCCGTCGGCAGAGAACCGGAAAACCAGGGGCTGAGGGAGCAGGAGGGGACCGGCTGCAGGCGGGATTGGCGGGGTCAGGCGCAGAGGGGAAGGAGGGCAGCGGGAAGGGCAGCCAGGCAAGGAGGAGCAGGAGAAAGAGGAGCAAAGAGTTAGTCCCGTAACCCCATGATTCACCCAGGTTCCCTTTCCCGGAGCGCTCACTGGTACAGGGACGGGGAGGATGGGTGACACAGAATGGAGGGGAGACAGAGGGCGGGGTTGGAAGCCATCGGAGGCGTGAGCGAGGCCGAAGCCCAGCCCTCCAGCTCGGTCTTCCGCCTCTTACCCTCGACGCCGGCTTGCGCGCCCGGCTCCTCTGGTTCCTTGGCGGCAGGGGCGTCCTCAGCAGCCGTGGGGCTGACTGCCCTGCTCTCCTCAGGCTGCCCCTCCGCTATAGGCTGCAGCCCAAGTCGATTCTTCTTCCTCCGGGGAGGGACAGGTGGGGGAGGAGGTCGAGGCGGGACCAAGGCCCACCCAGCTGGAGGGTCTCGAGGTGGGACTGGCGGGGGTGGTGCCCGGCTTCGGGACCGGAGTTCCTTGAAGGTGGTGACTTCCCGGGGAGGTGCCAAGGAGCCGCCCAGCGACCCGGTTGGGGGGAGCTCCGTGTCAGGGGAGAAGACGATGAGCCAGTCGCTTCGATCTTTCTTGGCCTGTGGCACGAGGGGCAGCCCTGGGCCCCGCTTGCGCTTCTGAGCCAGCTCATGGAAGGACGTGATTGTCCGATGGGGCACCGGCTCCTCGCTGACGTCACTCCTCCATCCCCCATCAATTTTCCCTGCATCTGTTTTTGAGCCAGAATCAGTTATTCCTGTGTTGGTATTCCAACAAGAGTAGTCGAATTTCCCAGGTTCAGTTTTCCAGCTAGAGTTAGTATTTCCGTTGATTTTCCTACCAGAGTTATTGTTCTCAGTGATTTTCCATCCGGCTTCAGTTTTCTCTGTGTCAATTTTCCAAATGGGGTTAATTTTCCAACTAGGCTCTGTTTTCCCAGCGTCGATTTTCCCGTCCTCTACCTCTGAGAGCTCGGAGGTAGGGAGGTCCTGCTCCCCACTCTCTTCCTCTTCCTCCAGGCTGGGGGAAGGGAGGTCCTGGCAGGAGGTCAGGGCATTGCAGTTCGAGTCCAAGCCAGGGCCGGGCGGGGAAGAAGCTCCGGAGCAGGAATCAGGAGAGCAGCAGAAGCTGTCCGGGGAGCAGGTGCCAGGGCCTGCTGAAGCCAGTGGGGAGCCCTGATCCAGGGGGATGATGCTGGGCTGAGGGTGGGCATCCTCATCGCCAGGCAGGTCCCGAGAATAGACTGAGACGGGGGATTCATCGGGGGTAAGATCTGAACAGGAACTGAGAGAGGAGGAGCAGCCCGGGTCCGAGGGAGAGGCAGCTACTTCCTCCTCCTGCGAGGGGTCCTGCCTGTTTTCTAGGCTTGACCCGTGCTCCTGGCAGCATCGGCAGGGCACAGCTGGGCTGTTGGAGTTGGCGTCCACCAGGGTCCCGCTGCAGGGGCCCCTGCTCTCCTTGCCGCCTGTGTCTCCTGGGGGAGGAGACGTGCTCAGAGGCCCCTCCCGTAGCTCGGGACGGCGGGACAAGTGCAGGCCTAGGGAGACGTGCTGGAGGTGGATGTGGTTGAGGTTGCAGAGTAAAGCCCTTTGAGGGGACAGCATGGTGCCAATGGCGACGGAATGGCCTCCAGAGAACCAGGAGGATCACGCCTCTCAATCCACCTACCTGGAAACGCAGGTGCAGACCTAGAAGACAGAGGTGAAACCCAGCCAGTGAGGGCGCGGACCACGGGAAGGACACCGAGGTGACTGACGGTCTGGGCAGACCCGGGAAGGCTCAGGATGCTTTGGGAGATATTTAAATAAGATGCAAATCGCCATCGACTGGCCATTAGTTTCCACTGCAGTGTTTGCAGGTGGAGTCGAATGTAAACCCCCGGGAATAGAGAAGGGCGGGTCAGAGAATGCGGCTGCGCTCTGAATCTCCGTGGGGGTGCCGAGGTTGGAAGAGGATGAGGGCCTGGAACAGACCCCGGATCCTTTCTGCAGCAATCTGGCTCTGCCCTCTAGCCTACCCCTTACTCCCAGAGGAAAGAGCCAAAGGGGACCTCGCCCAGGTGCTCTGAAATGAAGTGATGGGGAGCAACGCGCGGCTTGGCTAGTCAATGCAGGAAAGGGGCGGGGGCTGGAGACGGAGGAGGGAGCAGCTGTCACCATGTCAACTGCATCTGCAGGCTGCCCCTCACGGTCTCCGCTGGTCTGCAGTGCAGCCTTGGTAAGCCCTCACCCAGCTCGCTACAGTGGTATCAGCCCATTCACTCCGCGCTCGTCTCCATCTTCCAACCACCACCCACCCCTTCTCTATTCACTTTTACTGCTTCCCTCTCTGCCCCACCCGCGTGCCCTGGCCCATCCATTCACACCCACAGACCAGCCCTCCTCACCAGGGTCTTCCTGGAGCCCCTCTGGCCTTGGGCTGGTCGGCGGCTCCCTGGGTCCCCGCCCCGGCGGGATACAGAACGAAGGGGAGGGGCAGCAGAACCCATTCAGCTGCGCAGCCGCACCCCTCCACGCATGGGCGTGGCGTAGCCCAGACCCGCCCCTCAGGCGCTTGACGTGGCGCCTGTGTCACCCACCTAGAACCAGCTCACAACGGATCTTGTGCCAAGGACCCACCAATGGTCCAGGCAGACACCTTCCATCCACCCACACACATCCCACCCCCATACTGGACAGAACCAAACTCCCAGCTAAGCAAGAATAAAACCACAAAAGAAGGTTGCTCGATAATTTATTAAGAGCCCTCCTTCCTCCACCCCGACCCAGCCCTTGCAGTCTCTAGCTTATTTTTTCCGCTTGTAGATCTTGTTAGCTAGCCCCAGGAAGATGGCTGGAGGCAGGGGCGCGGCACACTGCTGGATGAGACTCATAAGGTGGCTGTAACTGTCTTCCTCATACTGTAAGAACACAGCCGGCAGGTTCAGCTCCTCGTACAGTGCCTTCACCTGGGCGACTTTCTTGGCATCCTTCTGCCCATAATTTTCCTGAAAGGGGTTGGAGACAGGAAAATGCCATTTAACTTAGCCAGAGCCCCAGGACCTCTCCACTCATTCACATATTCCAAAACATCTCCCAAATCATTCACTCCATGCTAGCCTCCAATTTCTTATTTTTATTATTTTATATGTGTGTACATACACACAATTTTTTTTTTTTTGGAGACAAGATATTTCTATGTAGTCCCATGTGGTCCTGGCCTAGAAATCAAGATCCTCCTGATTCCCTCTCCTCCCAAGTATCATGCCCAGTTCTCCTGCTTCCATCTTCCAAGAGTTCCCGGGTATCTCCTCTCCCACCCTAAATGTTCAGATACTGGTTCAGGCTCCAGCTTCTTCTACTTGACGGCTTTTCAGCCTTGACACTTGAAATTTGGTGCCACACAATTACTTGTTTTGGGGAGCTGTTCTGTACATCTTATGATGTCTGGCATCATCCTCCTCCCTCCCCTCTACCAGCTAGACAGCTTTACCACATGCACCCTCACCAAGTTGTGATGACAAAAAATATCTGCTGACACTGCCGAATGTCCCCTGGGGGACAAAAATCACCCCAATTGAAAACCACTGCCCCATCCCCTTTTTTTTTTTTTATTCATATGTGCCCCATCCCTTTCTTATCAGCTCAGGGACTACTGGCCCTCTCTTGGGCACCTGCAAGATCTGGCGCTGTTCCGGAGTGGCCCGTTGCAGACACTGAACCACCAACCAGCTACATTTGTTGTCCTGGATGTCAGTACCAATCTTTCCTGTCACACTTGGATCCCCAAAGAGGTCAAGGTAATCATCCTAGGCAGGGGGCAGAAAAGGAGGAATGAAGAGGCTGCCAGGCAGGGGAGGAAGGAAGTTGCTGTTGTGTGCCCCTGCCTCAGCCCTTCCTACCTGAATCTGAAAGAACTCTCCCATCTCCAGCAGGATCTTCTTGGCATTGTTGTGTTCCTTCTCACCGTCAATGCCTGCCTACAGGGAAAGGGGTTAAGAAACCAATCTTTAGGGGTGGGGAGGGAGAAGGATGTATCTAAGATACATTGTAAGCACATATGTAACTATCACAATATATCACCCTGTACAATTATCATATGCTAATTAGTAAATAAATAAATAAACTTCCTGGCTGCTTTCTGCCATGGGGTCTTGCCCTACTGTAGCCCCCACCCCCCCACCCCGCCCCAGTCATCTCTCCTTTTGGACATCCCTGGGCCCCCAAGTCAGGAAATCCTGACCAACAGTCCAACTTCTACCCCACTTATTTTTGGCTAGGCCTTCATGAGAATCAGATGAATCCATTCTAGAGGCCCTCAGACGTTTTTCCTCATGAGTCTCACTCTGATCTCTCTTCCAAATTTTTGTGCCACCTCCAACTTCTTTCAGGATGAAAATTTGGAGAAGTGAGTTCAGAGGAGACAGTCAATCCCACTAACTGCCTTTGGACCCACATTTCTCCCTTTCAGAATAAATTATCTCCTCCCCACCCCTATCTGAGCTCAGGTGCAGGATTCAGGGTTCCCCTGTTATGGTGCCCAGAACTTTTATTTACCTGGCCTTAGTTTACTTTACAGTCCTGTGAGACAGGAATTTTATCCCCATCTTACAGCTAAGGAAACAGACTGACAGATTAAGTGGTCAAGGCCATTCAGTGAGGTACCAAATTGTCCAGGTTGTCTACTCTGTGCCTTTCTGTCCCAAAACCTACATGGACAGGGCAGTAAAGGAGAATAGACCAACTCACCATGTACATGGCAGCAGCAACAGGAAGGTAAAAGGAGTAGAAACCTGTCTTATACTTGACAATAGATTTGTACCTGAGTAGAAAAAGACAGATGCCTCAGAGTGGCAACACCCACCCTCACCATCCAGACACAGTTTTCACTGGCCCTCACCTCTTTTCAGTGTATCTGCCAAGATCCACATGGTCCTGGGGAGCTGTGATGAGGTCCAGGGTTTGCCCAATCTCAGTCTGATAGCAACTCTGGGGAAGAAGAAGATGAATGAACCCAGGCTTTCTCCAGATACGGAAATCCTGACATCCTGGACCACACTCCATGACAGTTGACAGCCAGGCACAATCAGATAGGCAGCAGAGGGAGAAATTCCAGACCAAAATCATGCAAATGGCCGTTTCTCACCCCTTCTTCCAATCACACAAGGACAGAGGAGCCTTTGTTGCCACCACCACCACTCTTCCCAGTCCCCTCCCTTGTCTTCCCTTTCCAAGCAACCCTAACAATTCCCGTGTGCTGAAACCAGCAGATGAACACATCCTACAGAGGCCATGGTTACCATGAGCAGTCTGTGGGCCCAGTCTGCAGCATACCTGCAGGAAGAGCTCAATCAGGTTCAGGTAATAGGGCTGCTCCCGGCAGTAGTACTTCAGCAGGCGGTAGATACAGGCTTCCAGAAGCAGAGCATCATTCACAGCATCCAAACCTATGCCTGGCTGTCAGGGGAACAGAGTAATGCAAGTAATCTATCTCTGTCCTGGATTCATACCAAAACCACCACCCCAATCATCTCAACCAGGCTGCATAACCCCCTCTCTATGACCTGTCCCCATTACCTTCTTATACCAGCAGACCTGTCCCCGGCGGGTGTGGGAGTAGTCCATGATGTCATCTGACACCAGAAAGAAAGCTTGCAGCTAGGGGAAGGAAGAATGGAATAAGATCCCTGGGGATCCTTAATGTGCCTTCTATCAGTGACAGAACTGTTTCTTCTGACAGTCCTGTGAGCTGAGCAGGGAGATCAAGACGGGGAGGTCAAGGACTTTGATGACCGAAGACCTCGAAAAGTCTCGGACTCCCTATCTACAAAATGGGACTAAAACACTCGTTTTCAGGGCAAGAGACTAAAATAGATCTCTTCCATCTCTAGCGTGCCCCCGCCCCTGGTTATCAGAGAGATTATGAAACACCCTCACATAGTTTAGTCTTCTCTTGCCAAAAACATCAATGAATGCTTAATGTGATTTCTAAATCAGCTGGGGGTTTGGCTCAAGCGATAGAGCACTTGCCTAGCAAGCTGAAGCCCCAAGTTCAAACCCCAATACTGCAAAAGAAAAAAAAAAAAAGCAGCATTTCTTCACACAACTTGACTTTACATGACTTTCGTTTGCATTGTTTTTTGTTTTGTTTTGTTTGTGGTACTAAGGTTTGAACTCAGCGCCTACAACTTGAGCCACTCCACCAGCCCTTTTTGTGATGGGGATTTTTAAGATAGTATCTCCAGAGCTATTTGCCTGGGCTGGCTTCGAATCAAGATCCTCCTGATCCCTGCCTCCTGAGTAGCTAGGATTACAAGCGTGCCAATGGCACCTGGCTTGTATGTTTTGTTTTGTTTTTTTGTTTTTTTTTTTTTTTTTTGAGAAAAAACACATGTGAGGGTGTTTTTTTTGAGACAGGATTTGACTGTTGGCACAGGTTGGGCTAGAACTCACTATGCAGTCCTGGCTGGCCTCAAACTCGCCATCTTCCTTACCATCCTAGCCTCCCAAGTGCTGGGATTAAAGTCATGAACCACCATATTTGCCTTAACATTTTTATTAGCAGGGGTGTACAGGGGATACACTGTGACGTTTCCATAAGTGCTTACAACGTATCTTAATTAGATTCACACCCTCTTTCTCCTTTATTCCCTCGCTTGGAACAATTTCAATGGGTTTTGTTGTTCTATTTTCATACACAAATACAAGATGTTTCTACCATATTAGCTCTCCTTCACCCTCCCCTTATACCCTCCCCATTCCCCTGGCTTGAATGTAGTTGACTTTTTTTTTTTTGGTGGGACTGGGATTTGAACTCAGGGCTTTGTACTTGCAAAGCAGGTGCTCTACCACTTGAGCCACACCGCCAGCCCCAACATGGCTTCTTAAACAAAAGAAGGTTGTTCCCACATTTCCCCCAACACTCAAATATTCCAGTGTCCAGGGACACAGCCTTACCTGGAAGAACTGTTGGATGGAACAGAAATCTGATTCCTGGTAACTTTTACCCATGGGTTTTAAACACCTTTAAACATCAACAAAGGACATAAGCCGCCGCCTTCTTTTTCTTTTTTTTTGCCAGCACCAGGTTTGAACTCATCTATCACTTGAGCCACTCCACTAAGCCATTTTTTTATAATGGGCTTTTGCAAGAGAGGGTATCCCAAACTATTTGCTCTGGCTGGCCTCCAACAGCGATCCTCCTGATCTCTGTTCAGGTAGGTGTGAGCTACCAGCGCCCAGCAACTTAAGACATTTTTTTTTTTTTTCAGGGTTTGAAACAATGGTTTATTGAGCCCATTCACCAACTGGTACGTTCCCAGAGTTTCTGGGCTCAGGTCTGGCTCAGGCCTACTAGACATCTTTAGTGACTCTCAGTGGGCTGCAGTTTCTCAATGTCTGCTTTAGAATAAAAGAGCTGATGCCTCTCTGCAAATACCAAGTACCCCATGGCAAAGGAGGTCCCCTCAATGGTTTACCCTTGAAGTAATCCATTCTGCCTAAGTGTGGCTGTAGCCTACTAGAGACACAGAAACATAAACACAACACAGACACATCCCTCCTTTTTTCCCCAAGGCACCTCACTCTAGGAAACATTTCCTGCCCTTCCTCCATGCCTCTCACCAGCTCCACACACCAGCCCACGGTCAGGGCCCGCTGGAGACTCTCAGCATCCTGTTTCCTTGGCTCCACCAGCTCCCGGAATGCTATGAGCACTGTCAAACCCCGGTTGTACTTGCCTCCAAGGACATTGTACTCCAAGACCTGGGGCAAGGGGAGAGGGACAGGACATCAGGTTCCATACCACAGCAACTCTGAGATTTCTCCTTCCCTCCTCCCACTCCAATCACCACCCACTTCATCCTCCCTAACCCCAATTCCCCTCCTGGGAGCCCCTGGATCCCTACCCTCTTTACTCCTCCACAAAGTCCTAGGGCACTGCTAGACGAGTTCCCCAGTACCCAAGTACACATCTGCATTGTGCTTCCCAATAATTTCAAAGGCTACATAGTGCAGATTAAATTCTGCACCCAAACCGAGTACTCAGGGAAAACTCAGTAAACACTCTGGAAATGGCTGACTTGCCCAGGTCTCTGCCTCATCCCACCTTTCCTAGACTTCCCCTTCCCAACCCATCCCTACTTTCCCAACCATCTCCTCCCATCCACAGTTCAACCTATCTGCAAATAAAAAGCCAATACGGTTCCAGCTCTCTTGCTGGGGCCCCACTCCTCAGGGCTACTTATCCACAATAAATCCTGTACTGGCATAAAAATAAATAAAAAACCAGTGTTAAAGACAAGACCCCCCCCCCCGCAAAGTTGGTGGAGAGCTCAGAGGGGACTCAGATTGGGGGATCCATCTCCCACTCTTCCAACGGCATCTCCTCCTGTTGGGCCCTCTCACTATTCCTTCTGTTGCCCTGCTCTCAACCAAAGCTAATTAACTGAGGAGACTTTCCTTTTAATCCTCATCCTTATGTAGACAAGGCCATCCCTTTCCCTTGGTTTCCCTAAGACAGATGAAACAGATTGCATTTATAAAAACAAAGGTCAGGTGAAGTGGTACATGCCTGTAATCCCAGAAATTGGGAGGCTAAGGCCAGAGATTCCTCAGTTCAAGGCCAGCCTTCTACATAGGGAAACCCTGTCTCAAAAAAAAAAAAAAAGACAGCATGGTGGCACATGCCAGTAATCCCAGCTACTCCTGGGTGAAGATAGGAGGACTGCAATTCAAGGCCAGAGGGGGCAAACCCAGGGCCAGGTACAGTGGCTTAAGCTTGCACTCCTAGCTACTTGGGGAGGCAAAGATCAAGAAGATAGAGGTCCAAGACCACCCCAGGCAAATTTGAGAGAACTTCATCTTAACCAAAGGCTGGGTGTGATGGCATGCACCTGTCACCTTAGTTATGCACGGAAGTACAAACAGGAAAGTCCTTGTCTGGGCCAATCCAGGAATAAAGCAAGATCCTATTTGGGCTGGGAGGCTTAGCAAGCATAAGGTCCTGAGTTCAATCTCCACCAGAAGAGGAGGAAGAATTTAAAAAAAAAAAAAAAAGGCAATTTATGTATCACAGCACATTTGTGTCCTGGAACAAGGATTCTTGATGATACAGTAACTTCTCTCAGGCCTCAGGGAGACAGACAAACTCAGACTGCCTTCCTCCCAGGTGTCTGCCAAAGTAGTGTCTTATAATTTCAGGACTCAAAAGTAAATATTTGCCAGGTCCAAGTCCTCCACTCCTATGCAAAGCAGTTTGGATGGTCCTCCTTCTACAGAATCAAAAATCAGATTGATGGGCTGAATAAGTACACTTGCCCAGGCCCCACCCACTTGAGGGGATCCAGAGTTCATTCAGGTAAAACCCTTCTGTCAAAAGACCCCCCAAAAGCCACAGCTGAGTCCCACCATCTGAGGGTGACAAAAGCTGGGTTCCTCAAGTCCTGAATCCCTTACCTCCTTGAGCCGGGAAATAGCATCTCCTGTTTCTGGGTGCCCCATCTCATCCTCAGTCAGGACTCTGACAATCTGGGAGAAGTGCTGGATGAAATCTTGCCTTCCTTGGGTATAAACGTCGGATTTCTGGTCTCCATTCATTCTGAGAGAGGAGTAAAATGCTCTGAAGAAAGGAAAGACAATGAGAAGCCTGATCGGGGGCTTCCCTCCCTAATGCCCCACAACCCAACCACACTCACCGGGGCTCCTCTGTCCACACTTGGCACCAGCAGCGGGCACTGTGCCAGGACCCCAGGACTGGGCACCCGTGCACCAGGGAGGGCCGCCGTACGGAACCCATCCACCTCTCCAGGGGTGCCCAGCATGGGGTTGGCAGCAGAAAGACCCCCACAGATCTCAGCCAACGGGACAGGGTCATCATGGGGGTGGCATAGGGAAGGGGTACCGAGCACTCTGCAGGGGCAAGCACCGAAAGCAGATGCATGGTGGCAGCTCCCCCTGTCACCCCCAAACCAACCTCTTTACCTCCTGACCCAGAATGGCCCTCCCTATTGTAGATTAAGTTTGGGACAATTACAGAAAGTATTTGCAGGGAACAACAACAACAAAAAGTATATTCGGGTAACTGAGACCCAACAGATCTTCACTTAAAGTGAGGCGCCTAAAACTGAATTTCTTATGCCTTCAAGGCTGTGTGCACAAGCCTGGAGGAGGAGGTGGTAGGTACCGCCTACCCTAATCCTAATCCTAGGATTAGCGACTGGGAGGAGTTTTTTTAAATGACAGTATTATACAGACACGAAACTGAGGCTCTGGAGGTGGAAAGACAGCTGAGCAGAAGCAGAGCAAATCTAGAATTCAGGTCTCCCCTGGCCGGCGGTGGAGAACAGGGCTCAGGCTCTGAGCCACGCCCTACGGAAAATAGAAGAAGGTGGAACCCCTGGGTGCTGTGCCCATGTGTTCTGGAGCACTGGGAACCGGCATCTCAAGCCTCACAGAAACGCTGGCACTGCGCTTAAGTCCTCGGAGCAACTCGGCGGGCGAGGAGGGCTCGAAGCAATAGCAGCCCGGGGACCGGGCAAACTGGGGGCTTCAGGAAAGTACAAGGGCAGAGTTCGGAACACAATGGGTCACTCGGTCGGGTTCCCCGACCCCCAAAATGGAAAACTACGACACAACAGGCTTCCTGTGGCTCACGGTATCACCAGAGGTAAAGCCCGGTTGCGGACCTCCTCCTCTAGTCCCAGAGCGCAACCTCTCTCACCTGTTCCAGGATGCAGGTTCTTGCGGGTCCAGATTGATGGCTGGATACACCTAAAAGCTGAACGCGCTCCACGCACGGCTCTCTGGGTCTAGTAGTTCTCTGTTCCCCTTCACTGTAGGCAGAGATGGATCACCAGACTACAACTTCCGGCGTGCTGCAAGAGGGATAGTAACAACGCGATCTTGCGCGGCTGGAGGGGGCGGAAACGAGTCGCGCTGATTGGCTGCTCGCCCTCGTATGAGCATGGGGTCCTGTGACGGACGACCAATGAAAGGGCTGTGAGCCGGGAGCCCACACAGGAGCGGCTCTACCGAGCGGTGGGCGGTGTGGAGCAGGCCAGGCTGGAAATTCGCCAGTTTCAGGTTCTGGCTTGCCACCCTTACTCTCCGCTTCAGATTTCATTATCTTCCGCGCAGTTGAATGACATATCAGTTAAAACCCAAGAAGGACCAGCTTTGCCACTTACTAGTTCCAACTGCGGCCTATTTACTATCTGATCCTAGTAAAATGTGGTGAGACAGATCTCTAATCCCAGCACTCCGGAAGGAGGGAGGGGAGGAGGGGGGAGGGGGAGGAGGAGGAGGGGGAGGGGGAGGATGGAAAGTTTGAGGTCAGCCTGCGCAAAGTTAGTAGAGAACTCTATCGCAAAAATAAAATACGAACTAAAGGGCTGGGGCCTGTGTGCCTTGGTTCAATCCCAGTACTGGGGGTGGAGGGAGAAGGCTAAATATATAGAAAAACACTCCCAACCTTTTGGTAGTTTTTCGGTTAGGATCTCGAGTTTTTGCCTGGGGCTGGTCTCACATCCCAATCCTCCTACCTATCCCTAGTTGGGATCACAGGCGTGAAACACCATATCCAGCTTATTTGTTGAGATGGGGGGGGGGTCTTGCTTTTTTTTTTTTTCTTTTTTTTTCCCCATTGGCCTCTAACCAGGATTCTCCAGATATCACCTCCTGAGTAGCTGGGATTACAGGCATGGACAACATTCTACTTCTTACATAGGAAGACTTCATATGTGAATACTGTAGTGTATTTTGTAATGGTATATTTTACCACAATTTTTAAAAAAATAAGCTAAAAGTTATTGCACATATCTGGAGAGGAACTGGTGGAGGAGTCAGGAAAATGGCATTAAATGGGAAATTACGACTCAGTCCAGGGGGTGTGGTGCGGTTATCACTTGGCGAGGCTCAGTTTGCTAGGTGGGATGGACCCTCTCTTGGGAGAGGAGTCCATATATCAAAAATAGGAACCTAAGCAGGGTGCAGTGGTGTGCACCTGTAGTCCCAGGTACTCGGGAGGCTGAAATGGGAGAATTACTTGAGTTCAGGAGTTTGTGACCAGCCTGGACAACATAGAAATCCTATCTCAAGAAAAGCAAAAAAGACCCAGATGCAAGATCACACCTATAATCCTAGCTACCTGGGAAGCTGAGATTAGGAGAACAGAGGTTCAAAGGCACTGTGGGCAAACAGATCCCATCTCCAAAATAACCAGAGCAAAATGGACTGGATGTGTAGCTCAAGCAGTAGAACACCTGCTTTGCAAGCATGAAGCCCTGAGTTCAAACCACAGTCCCACCAAAGAAAAAAGAGGAAAGGAGAAAGAAAAGAAAGAAGGAAAGGAGGGAGGGAGGGACCAACAGAGGGAGGGAAAAAGGGGGAAGAGAAAGGAACCTCAAAGGAAATTAAGAGATCAGTCAATAAAAGCCTTTAGGAAAGGTCACAAATTCAAGCTAAAAAATTGGGCAATTATGACTTAATCATCAGTCAATTATGATTCATGTCCTATGCCATGAGGCCTTTCCCCCCCCAAATTATCCCAGCCTTCCTCACTCAGTCCCATGCAGCTGCCCAGGTGCATCTACATCATGTCTTTCTGAATAAGCTGCATTTTGTAGCAAGTGGAGATCCCAGAAGAGGTTCCAGGGAGATAGATGAATGGAAAACAGAACCAGAGCTCAGGATAGGACAGTCCAGGATAAACAGCCTGGCTATTTGAGTGCTGCAAAATATTCTTTGCTCTTTTAATTCTCTCCACAAATCCCCTATCAATGGAGTAGCTATTGAGTAACTCACTTGAAATCTGCTTTCACACAAACATTATTATGCCTTTGAATACTCACAGGGGCCCTACAAGAATTCTCTTTTAGCTGGAGGCTGGTGGCTTATGCCTGTAATCCTACCTACTTAGGAGGCTGAGATTGGGAGAACCTAGGTTTGAGGCCAGCCCAGGCAAATAGTTCTAGAGACCCCATTTTCAAAGTAACCACAACAAAATAGACTGGAGGTGTGGCTCAATCAGTAGAGTGCCTGCTTTGCAAGTACTTAAAGTCCTGAGTTCAAACCCAGTCCCATCAGAAAAAAATAATTCCCATTTAATTTGAACGCCTCTGTCAAAGATTTGTACTTCACAGGGCTGGGTGTGTAGCTCAATTGTAGAGCACTTGCCTAGCATGCTTGAGCCTTGGGTTCCAGCAAGGGGAGAGGTTGGGGGGGGACCTCATGAGTATAGGGCCTCACCCATAATTTACTTCCTTTGCCTTTAAGTCTGCACATCTTCCTCTTACTACAAGTACACCCACTCCCCCAAATGCTTCTCCAAACCTTTCCCCCTTCAGTTGCCTCTGTCAGGCTCCAGGCTCACTGTACTCCCAGTGCCTACCTGGGCTCGTATGGGAATATGTATAGAAAAACCTCCACTTCCTCTCTACACCAACTAAAAGAAAACTTTTTTCCTTTAGATATGTAGGGCTTTTCCCCCACAATTCCATTCCCCCGTTCTCTGCAAACACCAACTGGCTATTCCTCCAAATCAATTCAGTCTGACACCATCTACCTTGAGTTAGTGCAGATCCCACAGGTTTAGGGCTCAGTTGCTTGAGACTTCCACTTCCCCACAGCAGACATCAATTGCAAGTCCAGGTTTTCACTTGTGTGTCTAATTGAGGTTCTATGAGCCCCTTCTCTGGTTAAATTATCTTCTAGAGTGTCTCACAGAACTCAAGGAAACATTTTTATTTGCTCGTTTATTATATACTGAAGGATAGGACAAAGACTATAAATGAACAACCATAAAGAGGTGCATAGACAAGGTCCAGAGTACAGGAGCTTCTGTCCCCATGGGGTTGGGGTAGGCTGACAAGTGGCTTTCACCATCCTGGAAACTCTCCAAAACATATAGTTCAGGGGTTTTTTGTTGTTGTTGTTTTTTCTTGGCAGTACTGGGATTTGAACCCAGGAGCTCATGCTTGCTAGGATAGGCAGGCACTCTACCACTTGAACCACACCCCAAGCCCAGGATTAGGACATTTATGCAAGTTTCACCATCTACCCCTGATCAGTTATTAACTCAATCTCCAGTTCCTCTCCCCTCCCCAGAAGACGTGGGGTGCAACTAAAAATTCAACACATCTTTTTTTTTTCTTTTTTGGTAGGACTGGGGTTTGAACTGAGGGCTTCACACTTGCAAAGCAGGTGCTGTACTGCTTGAACCACATCTCCAGCCCATTTTGCTCTTATTTTGGAGATTGGGGGGGGGGGTCTCAGGAACTGTTTTCCTCAGCTGGCCTTGAACTTCGATCCTCCCAATCTCAGTTTCCCAAGTAGCCAGAATTATAGGTGTGAACCACCAGCACCTGGCAAAAATTCAAAACTTCTAATCATGGCTTGGTCTTTCCAGGGACCAGCCCCTATCCAAAGCCCAAGAGATGATTTATTAGAACAGATACTTCTTATCACTCAGAAAAGTCCTAGGAACTTAGGAGCTAGGAACCAGGAGCAAATACCGATGTATATTTTTCTTCTTATTTCCGCAGGGTGGAAAGAAAAAAGAGTTGACATAGGAGACAGAAAGGCCATACAGAGCAGTAGCAGGAAGCCTAGGCAGTCCATAGAGCAAGTGATGCTTTCAGGAAGAAGAAGGCTAACAGTGGCCACGGTGAAGCCTGAGCAAAAGACCCTTCTCTTCAGGAAGGGGCAGAGTCTGATAGGTGATGGGCCAAAGGAATGAGACCCCTAGGAGATGGGCTTCTATGTGAATTAATAACACCTCACTTGTCTTCTGTGGCTTGATGGGGTCAAGTATCAGCTGCCAACCAACTCAGCTCCAGGGAGCAGCAAGTGAAACAGACCAGGAAGGGAAACTGATCATAGGTTCAGTCATTCCTTGTCCTGGTCCAGCTGAAGTGGATTTCCCTGGGTGTAAGCTTCCCTTAAGTACCCTTCAGGCACTTAGCTGCCTGATCCCAGTCTGAACTCCACAGCTGGGCGACCTCTAACAAGCCACATGACCTCTGTGAGTTGAATCCAAATGTGTAAATTGAGGTTATCAGCATATTGCAGGTGCAATGCCTTTGGTGTGTTTTTAAGTAAATCAAAGGGCAAACACATCCCTTATCTAACTAACTCACAGGGCAGAGATAAGAATCAAAAGCAGCACTGGGCAAGGTGGCATAGGAATGTGATCCCACCCCTCACAGGCTGAGGCAGGAGGATCTCGATTTTGAGCCAGCCTGGGCTCCACAGTGAACCCAAACTAACTAAATAAAAGAGGGTAGAGTACTTCTGAGCCTGGGCTTCATCCCCAGAACTGAGGGGGAAAAGGAGGGAAGAGGAAGGGAGGGAGGGGTAGCAGTAGGGGGCTGGAGGCATGGCTCAAGCTGTAGAGTGCTTCACAAGCATAAAACCTTGAGTTCAAACCCCACTACCACCAAATGATAATAATAATAATAAACTAGCAGTAAGGGAAAAGTCTTTATAAATATTTAAGTTCATTCGAATCCAAAAAATTATCAGTCTACCTTCACTGAAACTCCATGTTAAGGTCACATGGGTGGAATGAGGAGAGATTAGGTTGAAGGAGAGAGGACTGAGATGGGGGAGGCAGTATCTCCCAGAACAAAAGCCCTCTCATTTCCCCATTTCCAGTCTGCAGCCCCCAAGAAGTGACCTTCCCAACAGATCTCAGAGGAAATCAGTAACAGTGTA